TTTTCCACCAGCGTTCGTATTGTCTACACGATTTTAGTTCTCATTAGTCAGAAATTATTCCTTTTCTACAATTTATGAGAAAATGTATTATGGAAAGTGGTTGTTTTTCATGTGACTTTTGTGGGATAAAAATTCTGCAATATAACCGTTATGGAAAAGGGATTATGCAAAGTGACCGGAGACGGTATTTGGCATATATTTGGCAAATATATACCCATCTGCTTGGATACTTTCTCTTGAAATGAAAGTACTTAGACCAACTGTATGCGCTTAAAACACAGAGCAAATACGTATGGATCTGCAGAACCCATGCATATTTTTTTAAGAATGAGGGGACATTCGACTTGCAAATCATTCGCTTGTAAAATGAATAATAAATAATTCGCGATAAGCCATAAACAAGATTAGGCAAAACTGTGTGATTAATGCACAAATATTTATTGCATATATCATTTTGCATAAAAGTAAGTAAAGCATTAGGTTTCAGGAATCTACGCATTATAATTTTTAGTGATAATCTGCTAGGGGGCCGTCCATAAATTACGTAACGCAAGAGGTGCGGGGAGGGGGCGGTCTAAGGCTTTAATGATATCGTGCCTATGTTACACATGTTAAAGGGGAGTCCATAAAATCGCGATTTTTGCGTTACGCAATTTATGGATGGCCCCTAACGTGTAAAGGGTTTATCATTTATGACTTACTCGGGAAAACAAACCATGACGTATTTAAATACGTCTGTAAATATATTTTTCAGATTGTATCCAAAGCCATTAAAAGTATGCAGTTATCTGTGCACTGATAAACCTCGCACAATTTATTTGACTGCCAACTTACTTAAATAGTGTAGTACATCCTTGCTCTCCTTGATTTTCCCCTTAGGTGGAGCACAACATTTTACATACTATTCTAATTTCATGGCCAATGGCGTCACACTCAATCTCCTCCTAGGCCAATCGCCTCCCAACCAAAATCCTCCCATGATGAATACCCGCATTGTTTTTATAATAGTTAACTTGTCCAAATCTTAACAGTGCCATCACCAAATAATTCTAACAATATTTAATTTTACAAGTATGTTATAGATATTTTATGAATGCAACTATATAGCTATACCTTATCTACATAGGTTTAAATATCTACAAGTAGGTAGAACCTAAATCCATCAGCAAACTTAAGCCTTAAGTTCTATAACCTTTTTGGCTGGCATTCCCTGTCCATATTCAACATTCCAAGAAGTCATCCCGTGCAAACAGAGAAATGCTTTACATAAATTTTGTATGGTCATGTCACGAGCATTGCCACGCACTAATATTTAAAGTAGAAATAAAGAACATCATCCATAATTTAGGCAAGAAAAGTGACCAGCAAATAATATTCTGGCAACATTTCAGGCTCCGTATTAACATACGTTGAAATTCGATTGCGTGTCTAATACTAAGCAAAATACATGATTCACTCCATACTACTGTCAGGCAAATAACATTTTGGGATCATTTATGACCATACAGACATACACAGTTTAAACTTCGATTTAAGCATGTCAATGCTTGACTGGCTTGACATGCTTATTATCTGGTTTATTTTAAATTCCTGTGCAAACACATATCGAGCCTTCTTCAGTCATTTAGGCAAACGAGTATGGTCACACACGCAGCACAATCCAAGTATCTTACTGAAACCATCCAGCAGGACGTATCTAAATTCACGAACACGAATAGCTTAATGTGCATGCTATCCATCAACGGTTTTGGTTAATTAATAATAGGTTGAGTTCAATATCTGTCATAGGACTTCCTAGAGTCGTATCATTCATGATACGACTCTGGGGCGACTAAAACGCGCAATGTGGTACATACTACTATCGCTTCTATTTTCGAGAAATATGTTGTGTAACTCATTTTTGCAAATTTTGATCATACTCTCCATATTTTTCTCACGACAATTAATTCATGCATCGGAATCACCCTCTATATTGAACACACTTAACGTCTTCATCCCTCCCATTACACAACACATCCATATTGTGACTGATTACTCGAAAAATCGAGAAATTCTCGAAGCCCTACCAATTACTGCCCCTATACCCAGAACGATTCACAGATTTCTGAAACGAACTTACTCAAACCATACCTACACTTCCGACTGGCGACCTACAAATATTGTCAAAACAAAATTGCATTCACGATATCTGCGGAGTTATTTTTATAGACACTCAGATCATTGGTCAGCTTGATGCCGCATTTAAATCAGTATTCTCTCTTAGCGTAGACACAAGTGGACAAACAATCCCGTACAAAAATCGACTTAGAATCGTTCACTTGGTAGAAAGTATTGGGCAAGCTGAAACAGCCGTGAACTTATTAAAATCTCCGAATAGCTCGGTTTACACTAAATTCCAATTTAGAAATGGGATATCGCTTCTCATATACAATTATGCGCATCTGTTCATCCTCGTTTCGTCTCAATCTACAATACTTGATGCGTTTTGTGTTTGCGCCCACTGCGGATTAACTTTACTTCGAATTAGCTTCGAGATAACCTTACAAGATGTTATCAAGCAGGTGAATAAACTAGAGAGGTACAGTGTGGCAATCCTTCCTACCATGAGTCGGAGACAAAATGTTACCGCATTTTGTGGTAGCAACAATTTAAGAACCAGGTTGGGAGATATGACTGCGCAGGATGTATTCTGCTACAAGAATGTTACATTTAAGGCAACCAACGGCAAGACGAACATATTCCTTCCAATCATGTTCAGTGAACACGTTGCGTAAGTTAATATATTTAAATTTATGTTACTGCTAAAGTACATTACTGTTTTATACATAGGGAGAATAAGTACGTTGTATTTGTCGACAAATTCGGCATCACTGGTGAAATATCCAGCAAATTCCTGACCTGTTGGGCATATCAGCCGTACACTCTGAGGATGTATTACAAACCATTCTCTGCAACAGTTTGGATCTACCTGTCAACATTTTTGGTCAGTTTAACCACATTTTTACTTACATTTGTGAACATAAAGTTAAAGAAGGGCATGGGTCAACATGCCCCTCTGGGTTACGGCATTCTAACATTTTTCGCCGCGTTACTCGAAAAGAGTGCTAGGATATCCAGAAACGTCGATAGCATTTTAGCATTCCGATTCATTTTTGGCGTCTGGGTTTTACAATCTATTATCTTGACCCAACTATACACCAGCAAATTGATATCCTCCTTGATAATCCCCTTACCCAAGAAATCGATTGGTCGGTTTGACGAATTACTCCCTAAAGCAGAAAATTCTACAGGATTCTTATCAGATGCCTTAATCAATCTACAAGGGCTTTTTACTGGAGCAAAGCGTCAGGAAATTGGAGCGTTTGAAATTAGCTCAAACCCTATAATAGGATTTGATGCCTATACACCACAATGGGTGTCTGGATACCCAAACATGAAGTGGGATTTAAAAGTACTTGGCTTCGACTTTTTCTCCATAATGGCAAAGCGAATTCGTGATTGGTTGAACAATCTAGCTGGAAACGACCTGGCCAAATCCGAAATAACAAACCCGCAAGGAAGGTTGTTCAACATGTGTTGGGAAGAAGTGAAGCACTGGGCGGAAAGTTTGAAATTAATTGGCGATATCGAACTAGGTGTCGAAGTTTCGCAATGGTTCGATCTACTCAGTAGAGCAAACATTTGGATTCCAAAAATAGACAACACAATTTTTAATATGACAATCAGTGATTCTCTATCCCCTCCAAATCGAATAATTCCACCACGTACATCATTTATGGAGGTTGACCTTGCTAAATGTGGCCGAACTGTGCATGTCGAGCAATCGAACAAGTTTAAGATTGAATTGGCCTACTTAAGAAGAAAGTACTACTGGTTGGAATTTTTCGAGAGTGATGAAGCAATATTTAGTCGAAGCGCCGGGTGGAGCTTTTTCAATACGGGAGAATCCAATTATTCAAAATGGCTGGACTGGTTTGTTGAATCGGGATGTTATAATTTTCTCAGATGGAAATCACAGAACGAGGAATATACAGCCAGGAGTGTCTTCACTAGGGAAATTATCAAAAGCCATAAGATTCCTGAGTTGGTTAAACCGCTCGATCTAACGACCGGTATCACGACATTTTTTCACATTTGGGGTATTTTGGTGGCAGCAACTGTAATGGCGGGATTGGTTGAATGTATCATTGGACGTGTAGTAGGTGGGTGGAAGAAACTGTGTGGACTACTGATACTAGTTCCAAAACGACGTCGGAAGAAAACCATCGTTTTCACATTTGTACCATAAATTTTCAGGCATCCACAAGTTGGACAAACTATCAAATTTAAAATTGTCTCGAATAATATTTCTTTTGTCCCCATTTAAATACTGCAATATTGGAAATTCGTTAAGCTTCTTAAAGATAACAATATATGTGTGTACATAAATAATTAGTTCATGTATTTCTATATCAATTTGCCTGAGTCTAACTAACAGATTATTTAATACTGGTAAGTTCGCATGGCCCCCTAATGCTTAAACAACTTCATAAATTTAGCGCTTTCTCGAGCGTTCCCAGAGCGCGATTTTAGGCCTCACTGCACCACAAAGTCGTGGAGTATGTATGTATGTGTATCCCATGGAAAATTTTTGTGTGGGGATTGTTAAAGTTTCTCGGTCTCGCTCCAGCCACGGTCATAGTTCGTGTCCTGCCAGCTGACACTGTCATAATTTACATATGTAGATACACTATATTTGGCACACTCAGCGAATTTTGGCCTACATATAATAATGAGATAAAATTTTTAAAAACCTGCTAACCCTCTGTAAGGACTCCAATTTAAGGTGAATGTTTTACTGATGGCGCATATTGTTAAATAAGAGAACTCAAATTGAGTTAAAATTAATTGTACATATGTGATTTTATAATAATAAATACAAACTAGCGCGGAACAAATTTAGCCGGGTCTATGACCCGTTTTGGATTTTAGCCCCGGCTATACATAAATATAGTATTTACGGTAATTTAGATTTTATTAAAATTACAAATGTGTCAATGTTTCGTGTAGAATTCATTAACGCTATAATTTTTGGTTAAGAATTGGCGAATTCTTACTAACTTCATACATAAAATTGAAGCAAAATTTCTTGATAACCGGGATCATAAACCGAACCCATTCTGGGATCAGTTATTATGATACGTGATCCTGGTTTTGAAACAGGTCTCCATATTTGAAAAATCTTCCGTCATTTTAGCCCCGATTTTGCCCTCGTCACAGAAACAGTCTCCCGGGGGACACTCGTCATACTGGATGCCTGCCCCGATCAGCTGATCGTCAACTAAAAGGTCATATTCTGGCGGGGAACATTCGTAATCACCCACGGCCGCCCAGGTCTCGAAGGTGAAGGATGGCTAAAAATTAAAGCAAGTTAATTATATAATAAAATCGATATTAAAAAAATGTATGTTGACACATTAACATCACAAGATAGAGGTGTAGGGTCTTGTTAACCTTGAAGGGATGTAGCCTAAAAAATTCTGTTGGGGCATTCCGATAATAAATAACTCTCTTATATACGTCAATAATTCGAAATTATTTAGTCAGTAAGTAAACTAAGAAATTATGTAGAATCTATAATCTCTTTGTGCCAAGAGTCTGGGAAGAGAGGAATAAATTCCTATCTTATCTTATCTTAATAAATAACACAAATTCTGCACCAATCGACAAAAACTGGATGATCTGTATAACTTTACCTAAATTATACACAATTCTTACAAATGTGTTGACCGATTTTAAATATTGGGAAGAATTGTAGCTGCAGAAATATTTAGGTCTGCATAATTCTCTGTATTAATCAATCTAACTATAAGATTAATGTTTTTCGGAAGAAAATGTCTGTACCAAATTTTCGCCAACTTAATGCAGAAAGTTGGGCCTAATTTCTTCCGGAAAGTTTTTCAAATTTTTTGGTCCAAATTACCCCTTCAATCTTGCGGAAACTAAATATGCGTAGGAAATTTATTAATAAGAAGATTTTTATATATTTCTAGTAACCTCGTCAAATTGGTTCCCCTCAAGAAATCCGACATAGTTAATGCCATAGTATTCACCAGCCGTGAGATTGAACGGGAATTCGATCGGCGATCGGATCAAGTCAAACCAGAGGTTAAGGCAGACAATCGGGCCGCAGTAGGTGTAGGACCCTTCCGTCCTGAAACGAGGGACTTGGGAAACTCCACCTTATCAAACAATAAATTTACAGTAAATTGATATGAGAATTTTTATTTTAAACACATCTTTTCTCAAGTAGGAAAAAGTTCAAAGTTTTTTGTCGAAATTTTAGTAGCAGTTTTCTAAGTGTGTGCAATTCTTTATGACACATTTCAAGCCCTATGTAGATATGTAGTATCCGTCTTAAATTGAGCAAATTAAAAAATTTCTTGGACTAATACCAGCCTTGAAGACCATTTGATAAGTGAAATTCTGTTCGCCATAGACGTCATAAGTACATTCGTCATCTGTCACGGAACTGCAACCGTTCAAGTTTAGGAAGACTACTTCCCCAACGGCACCTTCCTGGGGGAACGACACGTTCGGAGTTTCCGTACCTGAAGGGAAATTTTCATTTTCATTAAATTATTGAACCCCTAAAATGTTGAATTGTACTCGCTAATTTGTGGAAATGGGCCCCATTAATACTTTTCCCCTAGTAATTCATTTTTACACTCCAAATACATACATATAGAGTTAATCCCCTTAATATTTAAAATGACTGTCAAAACAATTAGAGTTAAATATGATTTCGTATACTTAACAGCAATTAGAAGTTAATGCACTAAAAATATACGCATTTGAAGCATTCAAAAAAACTTACTGTTACATGCGTACAAAGATTTCGAGTTTTGGCGCAGTTCTGGAACTTCGTAATTGGTCAGGTGGTTGACCGTGTAACTGCTGCTGGTCGGGGAAATCCGAATCGTTTTGACTGGCTTGGTTGGAGATAATTTCGCACCTTGTGCAAAAATATTCAGAATGACGATGCAAAAAGAAATTTGCAATAAGACGTGTCGTGCAGACATTGTCAATTCAATTAGTATTAATTGTTTAGAGAGTTATTAATGAATTTTCAAATTGAATGCCACAAAATAGGCTGGGGTTACGTTTAAATATGGCTTGATCTCTCGTATTCGTACTGCAATGATATTTCTCGTATCATTGAAGTCGAAAGGTCCATTTGTGATAAGGCTTGCATAAATTTTAATCAGTTTTGCGCACATACTGATCGCCAATTAAGTTATTTCTGGATTGCATAAGTGCAGAAGCATGTCGGCCAACCTTTGTAAATTAATTGGATGAGTTATTCCTATGACGTTTGTATATTTGCTCACTCTTTAAAATAATGTTTTGCTTACGAAAAGTTATTGCACCCTGAATTCCATATTCAATTTTTTTTTACTAAATCCAGAGTACTTTTAATCTGACGATGAGCAATGCTTTCTCTGGATTTAACATCGCTTACTATAATTTAGGATTCAGAGTGAATTACTTTTGAAAATGTAACATTATTTTTAAGAGCGTGTATGGTAATTGGCAATTATATAACCGTATAAAATAATGAAAAAAAAATCGCGCGGATGGCAGACTTGGATGTGTTTTGTTATCAATCAGGTAATTGATATTCTCTGTAATAAATAATTCCCAACGACGTGATTACGGCAAATTTAATTTAGTTTAAATATGTACATATTTATTTATCCACTCTGACCTTGTACCCTTGCAATCATTTTTTTGGTTTGATAACGTTAAATATTTTATTTTATTGCCATAATTCTACAGCTTAATAATTTGCAATGCAAATTTTGCATATATATTAAAGTATAACATATACCCATGTTTAATAATTTGCTAACTTAACATTTCATTTATATATTTTTACAAATAATCAACATAGTTAATTACCCGATCAAGTTGTGTATGTATAAATTTAAGTACCAATTAAATATGTATATTGGATACTACGTCAACAAATGATAGAGTGAGGAGACTAGAAATTGGGCTTTAGCTGTAATTGTATGTATACAATGTATACATAAAAATAAATTACTAGTTACAAGGAATAATTTATGTATGTATGTAATGTATGTATGTAATAAATTTCTTAATAAATGCAAATACCCAAGCGAAAATTCATCGTGATTATCTATTAATCCGCGACCGAAGTGGTGCCTCGCCCTTAAGTGTCCTGTTGGCTTCCGTTGTCGGAATCAGAGAAGGATTTTTTCGCTCGAAAATTATCACAAATTTCCAACATTACAATTAAAAGGCATGAATTAATTGAATTTTTATCTTCGCCACGAATATTCGAAAACCCAAGCGCAACTATTTACGCAAATAATTTCATATCTCTCAAATTAAAAGTTATCTCAATTCAATTAAGGTTAAGTCGTTGTGTAAAGAAACTCTTCCTGTCCAATTAAAAAAACATTTGTATACAGATTTTCTTTGCATACATGTAAAGAAAACTCAATATAAATTATTATACGAATCCTTAATCGTCAAGGACGACGATTAATTAACGAACCTAAATCAATCGGCAACAAAATCTTGAGTGAAATTAGTTCCATATTTACCATTACAGCGGTAAACAAATATTGCGTGACAAACTACGAAAATTATTTATGTCTCAAGTAGACATGCACCGAGTACAGAAAACGTCGACTCGGCCGAGCACCGAGTACTCGGCTATATTTTTGCCGAGTACTCGCTTCTGCTCGTTTGCCGAGCACCGAGCAATGCTCGGCAATCGAGTACCGAGCAAGGCTTTGCCACGAGTAAATTGTCAAAAAGATCATCAAAAAAATCATTGTTTACATAATATTTAATTACCAGAACCTATATTTTGAGAACTGGTGGACGGAATCACGTGAAGCTACTGATTCTTCTTCCGGTTCCAACATTTCGATTAAAGTTGATTACCGGATAGAATTAACAAATTTCATGGGTGTATTTTTCAAGTAAGTTTGATTTTGACTGCAAAAATCACCTAATGGAAAATTTGAACTGCGCGGTGTAAGTACTGCGTAAAGTAGTACTGGATGTATATGAAAATTTAAGAAATGCTCGGCCGAGCAGGCAAAAATACTCGGCCGAGTTCGAGTAGTGAGAACACGGCCAAAACATGCCGAGTACTCGGCAGCGCCGAGTACTCGGTGCATGTCTAGTCTCAAGAAAATCTGTATAAACCATGAAACATTATTACAAAAATGGTCACCGGTAACCATGAATCTATGTATAACACTACCGCCATCCCAATCATCTTGCCCTACCCATCTCGGGCAAGGAGAAGTACAAGTAACAGCCGCATTTTGTGCAAAATATTTCTCCGAGGTACGGAAATACATAAGTATGTAAAAAGTATGACACAAGATCACAAACCCCACTAAACCCTACAAGTAAAACAGGATTAGCTTGGAATCCAACTCTCCCCTTGCGCTACCGCCGCTGGCCTGGCTGTCTCTATTAATGAGTAGTCTGGTCACCCCACATAGTACAACTCTCCCCAATGAAACAACACGACGAAAAAGATGATTTATCCTCCAAACCATCAAGTAACTGATGGAAACGATTCCAACAATTATATGGACTTTACTGCAATTGAGCTAAAAGAATTGGTAGAATATTTAACTAGTAATGCATACATACATACACAACATGGGGGTTCAACATCATATCCGGTGAAATATCCAACCTGGCCTACATAATCAATGTGTGGATCATTTTTTCATATCTAAAAACATAAAATGCGAAAGTTAATCTTGACTGAAGTTGTCGTTCATCTCCAAATGTACATTTACCATTACAACGGGAAATAAACATTCTAATGCATATTTACTCATTTATGTTACCTTTGGCCAAAGTGAGTATTTATAATTATGTACGTCTATAAGGCAATATACACTTGATCAAAGTCGTTTATGAATTTGATGTTAGAAAATTAGCGATAAAAATTTAGAGTAAATGGTACAGGAATTTTTTTTTCTTGATCGAGGAATCCTATCCTGTCCCCGACGAGAGACTTACCATACCACTTTGCAAAAATGCTTGCTGTGACTCTAACATGACTAGATTTTGAGTTTACTGGATTATATTGATTGGAAAATATTTAAGCGTGACGGATTTGATATGAATTTCAACCCGCTCGCAATGTTAATCAATTGGAGGGCAGAAATTCCATCACGCTTAAATATTTTCCAATCAATACTAAAATCTTAACCCCCGCCAGATTTGGGCGACGCCGACTGTAATTAATTGTGATTAATTAATTAATATTAATTGATTGTGCTATACTTTCTCTGCCTAAGAAAAGCGAGGCATAAGCTTTTAGATTAACGCTAATCTACAAATCAATAAGTGTATATAAAAGATAATGTTCAAATTTCGCGAGAATTTTTACGTACGTTGGCGTTAATTCGCAAATAAATTATGACATGTTACATAAAAAGGACAAATTACATAAACTTCACTTCCGTGCATTCAATTTCTGTTATTGCCCAATTTCACGTGTGTAAAAGCGTGACAGATTGTCACTTGAAATCGCAAACATTATGCTCCGTTTTTTACGCCGAACTAATTTTAGTTTATATTTAGGGTATAAAAACATAAATATTTCCTACACTCAAAATAAGGTAGTAATGAATCATTACCATGCGGAATGACTATTTGGCTCTACCACGTCGGTTACGATTTGTCGTAGAAGTGGTAATAATAATTTCAGGGAAATTCAAATTCATTACCAAATATTAAGGAAGTGAATACCATTATGTATTAAATTTGAATTTCCCTGAACTTATTATTACCATTTCTACTACAAATCGTAACCGACGTGGTAGAGCCACATAGTCATTCCGCATGGTAATGATTCATTACTATCTTATTTTGAGTGTAATGATTTTAGCAGATGTACATATTTCAACGGGTTAAAAGGATGAGGACTCGAAGGGGTTGGAAAGTATTTAGCACCAGACTAGTGACAACACAACAGAAGTTAAATACTTGGTGTCGTCGACAGATTTACATAATTATTTTTTATGAATATATGACCTCTTAAATGATAATGAATTTGCATGACATGATAATATGAGATTTATGTATTGATTTGAGACTGGTTCACGTAGGGAAATTTGAACGGGCACAAGTGAGACTCGAGTTAATTGAGTTTGTTGCCCATTTTATCTTCTTAAAATTTGTATTTTTTCTAAACTTTGACCTCTCCTCTCCACCTTCTTAATTAAATTAATTTTCAAGCTGTTCTTTTGTCATTGATCGAGAGGAGGAGATAAGGATGTGCCCTTTTGTAAAATAGCGTCGCTTTTTGTGGAATATTCTCAAAAACCATTGTGAAAAGTGGACAGTGTCACTCCAGCTCTCAAGATAACAACACACATTTTACCCTCGTCTCCTTAACACTCTAGATTTGTAACTGGCTTTTGGATGATAATAAATGACACCGCAAAGTAACTAAGTGTGACCACGCCGCTGCTTCTTTGCACAGTTTTACGGCACATTTCACCATCGCAGTTACAAGAGTCACACCACACAAATAAACATACAGTTCTCTCTATTTCAAAACTTTATATTTGAAGGACGAAGATTTAAATAATTTATCTATAGCGTGAACCTCGCCTTGCTGAAACCTTGTTATCCAGCTACAGGGCTCCGATAAAAAATCAAGTAGCAGCATGTTGAGTTGAAATGGGGGAACTTTTCCACATGGTCGTGTTCAGTTTCTGCTGATGAAGATGAGGTTTTCATTACATCTATATTTTAAAAAAGATGAATTTTTTAGGTAAATTAAATTAAAATTTTGCATATATAAATCTGATTAAAAGTACGTCATAAATTTTGCTATAACTGGTTCATAAAGTCAAGCGTATGAACTATGCAACACTAAGTGGCAATCTAATCCGGGCATTAACAATTTTATATATTTATGTATATCCACCAACAAAAAAAATCTAGTGAAATTTCAAATTATTTTCCAAAAGCCATCTACATAATTGCATGGCATTTAAAAAATTACGCAAATTTTAAGCTACCAAACTCGAAAATCGTTGGAAGATGAAAAAAACACTATTTCATTGTATATATCTATCTTAATAATACGGAAAATGCAATTATTTTGCAAACTTCAATACATAGGAAAATTGGGGTCCGAAATCGAGGCAGCGGCCAAATTCGAGTGGAAAATTATTTTGAAAAGTATTTCCCGCAATATTTGACCAAAAGTTGGACTAGTTTGAGTCAAAATCCAAAATTAGCAAAAAAATCACACATTTTTGCTCAGATCTCGAAAACTACTGGTGGGCCCCCCCTTTTTATTACGAATTCTTTATCTACAAAAAATTACGCAAATTTTAAGCTATCAAACTCGAAAATCGTTGGTAGATGAAAAAAACACTATTTCATTGTATATATCTATCTTAAAAAGTCGCGAAATCATTAAAGCAATGTAAACCTTTTAAAAGATTTCTTAAATTGGTGAAATCTTGGATTACATAATTAGGAAAGTAATTCTGAGCAGTAATTGAGTTTAAATTTTGAAAGTGGGTGAAGACTGAGGTTACCTCAGTGAGGTAACCTCAGCACGTTGGGTAACCATAGCTATGGTTACCCAACGTACAATCGTAAGTATTTACATACGTAAGAAACCTAAATCTCTTCAGAGTGAAAAGATCAGACGTAAATATGTTACTGACTGAACTGAAAGCATGATTAAAGCGTGCACTAAAAACGGAAATAGAGAAGGTTTATAAATAACTCTGCAACATCTGCACTTTTTCCGAGTACTGCTGGACGAGATTTTTGTGGAAGATGTTGTATACCCTCACTTAATTCGGTGCCTCGTTTACAAAAATGTTGACAAAAAGCATACTTTCTCGGTAAAGAGGCAAGACTGTAACTTTACGCAGTTGGTTAAGATAGATATATACAATGAAATAGTGATTTTTTCGCGCTCTAACGATTTTCGAGTTAGATGGCTTAAAAGTTGCGTAATATTTAGTAGATCAAAAATCAGTAATAAAATTGGGGTGGTCGTCCAGCAGTTTTCGAGATCTGACCCAAAATGCGCGAATTTTTTGCTAATTTTGAGAAATTCCAGTTTTGACCAAACCTTTGCTTTATAATGGCTCGAAATAATTTTAAAAATTATTTTGGACCAGAATTTGGCCGCTGCCTCGATTTTTGACCCCAGTTTTCCAATATGTTGAACTTTGCAAAATAATTGCAATTTCCATATTAGTTTTCCACGATGGAATTACGCTGTTTATTAACGGTTGTTAGCGTATTATTCAATTATACCTTATAGTTATGAACATATTTTGCCAATGGCAAAAGAAATTTTCCCATAAAATGTTGCCAAAAGTATAAAAAAAGTTACATTGGAAATTCAAATCGACTCTTACCTATGTAATATTACAACGTTCGATGAACGTTTTACTTATCAGGAAATTTGAAAGCAAGGCGAAATTCTGTTAGTAATTCGGAATTTTGTTAACAGCACAAGATTTTGTTAATGTCGCGTCGACTTGTTTATGTAGCCATGAATATTTTTCTGCACCTTCGCAAATGAGCGTAGTCACATATGTAACTTGTCAAGTTTTGCGAGATTTCGCAAAAAAATTGTGGGAAAATCATACCTTTTTCAAATCTATTTCGCAAACTCAATATTAGGGCATGCAATACCGGGGTTGTTTCCCAAAACCGGTATTCGGTATTTTCGGTATTAGGACCTTCGGTAATACCGGTATTACCGGAACCATATGTTAAATATGTATTAAGCTATGGAAAATGATCATACGAAGCAATACATAGTAAAAACTCAGCAAGGCATTAAATGCTGATGTGTAATAACATATCACTAAAATGAACATACTTCAAATCACTAAGAAAAAGGTTGGTCATATACCTCTTAACAATTTAAACTATGAGGTTCAAAGTTCCAGTGTTTGGCAAAGCAAACAATTTCAAGTGGGGTCAAATCAAATCAAATCAGCAACTGGTTCAAATTTTTAACTATGAATTATCTGATATGCCCACTATGTTCTATTGGCTTCCAATGTCGCAACTTTTACAAATTCATTAAGTTTTCTACATTACCAAAAATTTCCAAAAACTCCAAAATTCTAACATTATCTGAAAGTACATTTCGTGTGTACATATGTAACATTACTCAAATATGCAGAAGATACTTTCCGTGAATTTAGAAATTTCTGGGTAAGTCGTAAAATGGTTGTTAGTTGACTGACAATGGAACCTTTTATCAAGCTACACCGGGATCGATTAGCGAGTTATGTCCAAAAATTGGGGGCACGTGACACTTCTCTTTCCGTTGAATGGCCCTTTGAAGAAAACTATTGCCGGTTAAGTTCAATTTTTGAGCACATTTTCTCTTGCGTTTTCCTCCACTGGGCGAAAACCAAGGCGCTCGTGTGAACTTTGACCTCCAATATTTTTCTTCGAAGGGGCCATTCAACGAAAAGATAGGTGTCACGTGACTCCTAATTTTTGGCTTGATTTTTTTGGCATAATTCGCTAATAATCGATCCCGGTGTAGCTTGAAAAAGGGTTTTATTGTGAGTAGATTTATCAGATTATGGTTTACGGTATCCGTGAAGCATTTCTGGGGTTTGTATCTTCTTAACAATAATGATTCGGCTGTTTAAAGTTTAGTATTTTTTCGTATAATTTCTGCAGATACACGGTCTTTTATGAGTCTCGTACACGTAAAACGGTTTACCCGTATTGTGAACTTTTAAAATTTTTTATACACGACAATCTGCCTGAATAAACACCTTATTTAATATTATAAGTTATCGAGGCTTCAATTTCTCAAGTATTTTTTTAAAATTGTCGGAAACCTTAAAAATAAAGGTTCTAGAATATTCCCAAATAAAGTTTAATGTATGTTAGGCGTGAGTGATAAATTTCCCATAATTTTTATCTGCCGAAAATTTGATTTTTTTGTTTAAACCAGTTTAATTTTGCTTGACTGAAAGACGGTATCAATATGTCAAATTTTTAACTTGAATACCGGTATTGAGCTCGTCAATACCGGTATTCGGTATTCAGTAATACCGGTGAATACCGGTACTCAAATACCGGTATTGCATGCCCTACTCAATATCAATAGAAGGATTTCGAGATTGGCGAGATTTGCGAAGCGCCTCACGACCCAAATATTTTTTTATCTTCGCAAGTTTGCTACATATATGAGTTGCGATTGCGAAATAAGACGTTGTCGTGAGTGCGCCTACCGCGCATATATAAGTAACCATTTATTAAGGGGTGAAAACCCCTTTATGGAAATGTCTTGTCCGTCTGTCCCGTCCGTCTGTCCGTCCGTCTGTCCGTCCGTCCGTCCGTCTGTATCCCCGATAACTTTAGAACGGATTCGAATTTCGACATCCGGTTTTCGCCAACGAGTTTCTAATTTTTGAGGACGGGATGAGTTCGAAGATGGGCGTTGTAGGTCGTAAGGTCACGGCGCCACGGTGATGACGCCAACGGTCAAGGGTGTCGAATTTTTCGTTTCCACTGTTTTAGACGTATTTTGGGACGGGGATTTCAGAAATCGCCATCATTTCGACGTGCGACGACTCCATGACCGTGTGGGAGGTGTCGAATGTCGAAAAAATGACTTTTGTCATGTGGGGTGTCTATTGAAAGGTATTGTCGTGTACGTTTGAAGTACGCGGGTGGGGGTGTCAAAACGGGGCAAAATGAGACGTGGGGTCATGTGAGACAATGACGGGAAAGTGCAGAAAGACGTTGTGGGCGTGCCACAAAGACAATTCCGTGTGGCTTCACCCCTTTGCTACATTTCGTTTGCAACGGTTTATTTATTTGTATACAGTGCAGCACACAGGTAAATATATGCAGAAGAAATCTTGGTTTTTTACGCAAAATATTAATTGTGTGCGAAAACCTTTTTTTAATAAAATGCCAATATTTCCAGTACATAATTTTGTACAATATTTATAATAATCGTCATGAAAATCTTGAGGAAATTCACGTAGGCCTTTGTACATAATATCGAGAAATTCTTAAATTCTGTAAACTCTTATAAAATTTGGCGAATATTCGTTATGAAGCGTGGTAACTTTTTGGTAACATGACTCTAACAAATTTTTGTGTAAGCAGACACGTTTGTATAAATAGCATTAATCTATTAAAGTATCACTGCATTAGTTTACTGTCCCCTCGTTGATAAAATACTTTCTCAAATTCTGCACAAATTTATTATCCGCGTTTGGAAACATTTTAAAAACTCTGGCATACTTGGCATCAATGTCCACCCCGTGATTGAGAATTTCAATTGTATGGGATACTTTATTAATGCCTTTATCCCTAATTTCGAAATGTTTCAGACTTCCGCATACCATCCCATCGCTCAACAAATAATTGGAGCAGGGTTCCCAGGAACCCCACCACTTCCAAGCATAAGTTAAACAGAACTCTCTAATTTGTGGGAACGTCGTAGAAAAATTGGAGTCTCCCGTTTCGAAAGAAATCTCAAAATTTTGAGGATATTTGAAATTGAATCGTTTCAGGTTGCGAAAAATAGGTAATCTCCACACGCTTGTTGGCGATGGCAAGTTTACCAGTTCCAAAGTGAGATATTCCAATGTCCGACAATGTCGTGAGAGTAGGTTGTACAATGCCACGCTAGCGTCGGCCTGCAGGTCGTCCTCGTCACGGCGAAAATACATTTGTATGAGGGTCAAGCTTCTTAAGGTGAGGTGAGTAATTTGTAACAAGTCGTTTAACGCGTCTGTCCAGGTTCGTCCAGAAATTTGGAGTTTGACAACAGTTCTGAAAATTGAATCAACATCAGGGTGGATAGGATTAATAAATTGGATTAAAAATTTCTCAAGGTTAAGAATGACATGTGAGAAATGCCCTATTTGCCATACATTTATCATTTATAATTTGTTACAAATATGACAAGCTCATATTGTGTACATGTGTACAACTTGTCCGTCAGACCAGTGATAAATGTCGGTCAAATTGGGATTATGACAAATTGGACGGTCAAATTGAGAAATATGACAGGTATGACGGACATTTCAAATATGACAGATATGTGCATATATACATATGTGAATAGACCTTACACGGCCAAGTTCATCCCGACTCAAGGTTGCGTAAAATTTGCTATGATATAAAATAATATATAATTTGCCACTGCTTATGTAAATCTTGACCAGTGCAAGTTAAAATTTATCCAACATAAAATTTTAGAATTTGCACGTTTCCGTTTGTTTTTATCTTCATTGCGATTATACATCATTTTACACAATCTGTTGTGGTAAGTCAGATGTGAAGTATGAAAGAAACTAATGTAAATACCTTGGAATTAAATCTGTCCTTTGTACAAGGAATTCAGTCTGTCCGCTGTCCACCGTTAAGTCTTCCAACTTCCGGAACACGGCCATCAGTTGACCAAGATATTGCACTTTGTGGGCATCCAAACCGAAATCCGAATTAAAATTAATGCAGGATAAGTCCAATATTTTAACAGAATCGAATTGCTTTACAGCAACTGGCTCACGGAACAATAACCTTTTATCATTAGGCTCGTAAATAAGGCTAAGATTTAACTGAGTCAAATTTCTAGCACAATTTTTAAGTAGTTTTTGAACAAAGACCGCCTTCCCACTGGTGTCAATATTCCCGCGAAGTGTCAACTTTTTTAAGGGCAATGCACCCCCGGAGAAAACGAGATTGGCAAATTCCTTTCCCCAAATGTCACTATTCAGGTGCCAGGGAAACTCAGTCCTATCTTGAATGATGACTTCGACGTTGTCGGGCATGCCGAGGGAGGAAAGTCCAGTAAAGAGTCTGGCATTCCGGTAATTCTGGTCAGTATGGTTGCACTTTATTTGGACTGCGGACAATTTTTTGAGGATGGGAATGGCTCCATCGTTCCACATTTGCGAAACGAGGCGGCACTGCTTCAGGTCAGGGACGGGTAGCCAGGAACATATGGCAGTGACGATCTGTAAATTTGGATAGTCTTCAAAACATGGTATTAAATCAGTACCGATGGCAGTACATATTTTATAACGCTACCAGTCCCGGTAGAGGGCATTATAGTTGAGTAATGTTGTAGCAATGAAGCAATGAAGAATTTACCTCATAGAAATAAACGACTAGTCGGGTAGGAAGTTGTTATGTACAAGGTCAATACCAAATTGTGTAGTCCAAGTCAATACAAGCAAAGCTTCTGTACGATCGTTGAAATTTGTCAGAATATTTGAGGTCAAAATTGGAAAATGGACGATTATTCCCTCATTTTGTTCGTTTGGGAAAAGTTGTTAGTTTTTTAACCTTAACCTTCCATAAATATCTTGACAAATCCTAACCATCGAAAAAACTGGCTGAAGGAATTTCGGGTTGGACTACACAATTTTAAAATTTCGGCAAAATCCGATCCTTACACATTACACCTTCTTATTGAAAGATTTGCCTTTTTTAGACTTTGGGTACTTACGTGAACGTTCATGGGTGAAGTGATTTTTGGGTTTGACGCATCATCATGGGTGTCATGTGCCATTTTTGATCCTGGGCATAAAATACAATACCATATCAAATAAACCAGTATACTAAACCCAGAGCACTTAATTTGGGGCTTCCATATATGCATTACGTCATCATTTTAATGGATGGCCCCAATGTACACTTTACTCTTAATCAGGTTGACCTCTCTTACTTATGTACAATTATGTACTATACAGTTATAAATCTGGTACAGTCACGCAGGTATTGACTTCTCGGTACTAAAGTTACTACCGCTTGGAAATAAAATTATACCGGTCCATAAATTAGTACCATACATTGGCTGTAGGTGTAAGGAAAATTCTTAAAATTTGCATGGAAAAATATTTTAAAGATCAACCTTTTCAGTTCTCCACAAAATATCAAAGTATTAAGACTCGTATTTTGAAAAATTTTGAAAAATCTACCTTTTTAGAAAAATATGTGATAAAAAATATGACGTATTTATAAACATATTTGATCCTGTCACGGAAAACAGATTTTTTTCATAGGTACGACGCAGTGGCGGCGGAAGTTGTGGGGGGGGGGCATGTGGGGTTTTGCTAAAATCCTAGGGGACAATGTCTCTCTGTCCCCCTGCTTCCGTCGCCACTGCTAGGACGTACATATTTGGTGTCTTAGGGAAAGTACGTCATTTGACGAATTTGGTCAAAATGAGATTAAAGTTAATCTGGATTTAGTTTAGTTTACTTTATGTGTATTGAATTCAACCTGCGTTTACTTTTCGAAATAGTAATTTTTGTTTTTAATTTTTTTATAATTCTTACCAATAATTGGAAGTTCCCAGGATGTAGAGTTTCCTCCGTCCTCTGCAGAAATAGAGGATCACTACATGAGACACGTACATATTTATAAACCGAACTGGTCAGGATGTGGGTTACGTCAGCGCCTTGTGCTTGGTATCGACATGAGTTTACTTTCTGATGATTTATGTATCCGACCGAGTAAAGGGGTTCCGGGCATGTAAAATGTGTTCGATTTTTGCAGAATTTAAGCGTGTTGATTTAATTTGTCCCGATTTTTTAAAACTATTTTAAACCAGGTAACTCAAAAGTTATGTATGAACACTTGGATTCTTCCGGTGAATGTTGTGATGCTCATTATTTTTAGTTCTCCGCATTCTACACATGGTAAAATTTCAGAGAAAAATTTTAACCTGTTCCAAAGTTATGCTTAAATGTGATACTTAATTGTTTGTACAAACATTGATGTTGGAGTTATCAAGTAGGCTATTTAATCATGCACATATAAATACGTATATATTTACATACAAGCCAAAATGGAAAACAAATGCATATTGATATGTATTATGGATTTCAGTACATGCAAATATATTAATTTATTACACACATACATATTTACTTGATTTATTAATGCATATTTGCAATCAAAAGAATTACCTCAAACAAATTTTGCATGTATTTACATAAGCACAAAATAAATATTAAATTTATATTTACACACGTAGTTTAACTACGGTAGGTATGATAACAATTATAATTTGAAAAATATATAATTAAAATGTATAATTCAATATTTAATTGAAGAATTCGAGTTACACAAGATAGTTTCATGTATTTTTTTCTATACGTGTTTCGATTTCAAAAAAGTTTCCAGGCCGATGTAAAAAAAATTCGAAAGCTTGGAAAAAATATAGCTGCATTAACATGTTTTCCGATAATTCTACTGTAAACTTTCATACGTTTTTCTGTAAAGTTTACAAGTGAAAAAATCACTTTTCTATAAGATAGAGTACGATATAAAATTCAGGAGCATTTTTGCCCAAAGAACACAACAAGGTCTCAAGCAAGGTTTATTCATGCAATTACATTCTGCATTTGATAAAACAAATCAAAAAGTCATAAAAATCTGCTAAGTAGCAAATTGTGATAATTTTGTAAATACTTAATTACAATCCGTGGAATACATGTATTCAATATGTAGTAAAAATTATTACACATTGTGAATGAATATATGTATAGAATTGTAACCCCCAACTGTCCACGATACTCTACAACTAGAAAACGACACCAGAAAGAACTTTTCACCTCCTTCTCTCCAATGTAATTGGAATCAAATAATATTTCAGCAAATAATGTTTAAAACTTCGTAATTTGGATACCAGACCAAAATACGAATGATCTCCACTCCACCCATACACTCTCAATAATTTAGACGCAAAATTATTACCAATTTTATTACCCTGACACGGTAACATCAACTGTATGTCATTAGGTAATAAATTTGTTACCAAAATTGTCAACATTGAAAGTAACAAATATTGTATCATCTCAGGAAATAATTTATATCCTTGGTGGAAATAATTTTATCTCCAAAATTATTGCCTGTGAGTGACAATTTGTCTCCTTAAAGCCAACCGCAAGGCTTAGTGGCGGGTTGGCTTTTCTCGCAAACGTTTTTTCCTCTCGTCTGGCAGAATGGCGAAAATTGTTCGAGTTTCGCATCCTACCAGAGGAAAAAAATTAGTACTTGGCGATTCGGATTATGAATTATTCTCAATTTCAGGTAAACAATTTTAATACATATTTATATGATATGAGTTATTAAGGTGTTGTTATTTATTTTTTGCCCTATATTTACAGTGAAACAAAAGTTTTTGCTAGATCCGGATGCGAAAATTTCATTCGAAGATGAATACGGCGCAGAAGTGGATGAAGACATTTTCCAATTTTACTGCAGCAACATTCAATCCCCAACGTTATTGTGAAAATCTTTGGAGAAGATGTTATTTATGGTGAGTAGAAACTCTAGTTAAAGAGGTAATAATTTTTATTTAGCTTTGAATAAAAGTTATTTTAAGCATTTTTCTTAATTAATACAGTTGACGTTTCATCTCCTATGGCCACAGCTGGAATAAATTCATCCCCAGCTTCAAGTTAAAAATACCAAAACAATGAGGACATCGAAATAACTAATTTTAAGCAGGCGAGACCTCATTGTTATTCATTCATTTATTTTTATTCAACAGCGACTTGTTTAATTTGTTAGAATATCACATTTCTAATTTTTTTGAGTTACAGATAATTGAGGCACATATTCAACAAAATAATAAATTGGAGGAGCTAGTTCGAGAATCAATAATTAACTCTTGTGTCACTGCCCAGGCCTCGTCGACTTTAATTAAGGAGCTCGTCGCCAAATTTATTGAGCTCAAGGGGTAGGACATTTATTTTAGAACAATTAACTTTGTCAAATCAAGTCTACATTATCGAAATTGTATTTAGTATATCGCCGACGTCAAAGGATCAGAGAATATTTGCTAAAGCAATTCTTCTCGTTATTCCTTCGTGGCGCTATCCTGGAAGTGATGACGGGACGGTAAGTATATGATTTGACACTCATGAGGTATTTTTAAGCAAGTTATCTAATTACACAAACAATTTAATTTAGGATATTTTGTTTGACCAAGTTGGACGAGGTGGTCTGATTCAAGCTAGACTGCGGCACATCCACAAATCTATAAACAAAGATAAGCCAAAAGCACAAAGGAAGCGAGCGCTACCCAGGACGGAGGATTCGTCGCCAAAACGTGTCGCTGTCGGAACAGAGGTGGCTGATAGTTCGACCTTGGATTCGATTCGCAAGCTGAGTGGCCTTTGTCCAAAAACGGCTGAAAATGAAATAAAACGGCTGATGCAGGAGACTCTCCAATACCGCTCGATGTTACGGCAGACACGTCAGCTAGGAATTATAAATACCTACAATAAGTTTTTAGAATGTGACTTTCTGGTATGAAAATACTACACATGATAAATATCCAATTCACTGATGGAAGAATTATTTTGTTAATATTTCAGATTAATTACGAATTCTCCTTGATGCATGAAAATTCGGTCAAAAATTTTGTAGATATTTGGCCAGCGGCTGCCCCCAAAATTGTACAAAAGGGACCGGAAGTCTGTAGAACTCCTCCGTTGCAAAAATTTCTTATGGAAGAAGCAAGCAAGTTTTTTAGTGTGGATTGTGGGATTTTTAAGGGAATAGAAAATTAACCATTAAAAAAATTTCTAGATAACTGGGACATCAATATTTCTGCCCTTTTTACCCTGTTGCACCTGATTCCACCAGCTCCGCAGCGATAAGGGAGAGGAAGTCGCTCGAATATTGGTGACGCCAAAGAACTTTTAGTATCATTTTTTAAAGTAAATATTTTATTCGCTTGCTTAATTTTGCTCGATATTTTATTAATTTCTATGTCACTGAATTTAGAGTGGGACACCGCTTCAATCAATTTTGAACACGTGGGCAGATAAGAAAAGCCAACCAAATCTAGCTTGTCTTGGGGACAACAAAAAGGACCTTACCTCATATTTTATCGTGTGCGACCGCAAGATTCTTCCCATTGCAGCGCTAAATAGTGCAGAAGCTATCGACACTTTATTCAAGTCACACTACGTTTTCGCCACAGAATACGATAAGAATTTGTCTGGATTATGGAAATTTATTCAAGTCTATTTATATAAATTAGAATTAGGGACAACTCCCCTTCCGCGCAAAGTTAAACAAGTCTACAGTCAACTCGCCAGTATTTTTGACGTTCACCAAGATTGTTGAACCGATTTACAATGTTCCAATGCCCGGAATGCGTTAGGTTATTTGGTACGGATTTAGAAATTAAGAATCATTTAAAATATATTCATGCGTATAGTCACTTAAATTTTCATGCTATTGCTTGTCCGGGTATTTCCTGCCTGGTAGAAATTAGTACATGGAGTGGGTTACAGAGCCATCTAAAAACTTTCCACGCTGGTGGAAATAGTGCCGAAAATAGTGAACAATTAGTCGACGACCTCTCAGAGGAACAAGTTGAACCTAGTTCTAGTAATATTATTACAAAATCTGCCTCTCCATCTACTGAAAATTTAGAAAATTTAGACGATATATCGACCGAATTCGGAATAACACTTTTCACGGATCTACTGCATGATTTATGTTCGTCTTTATCAGCTAGTGGTGTCAATAATTCAATTGTAGATTTGGTGATGAAGGAAATGAATTATAATTTCTCAGAAATTTGTAAATTGATTTGTAAAATAGGATTTAAATATCGTATTAATGATTTTGACGCTTTCTCTTGCCAAGTGAATAGCTTATTGGCTGCTTTTTGTAAGGTGAAGTCTTCTTATAACAGGTTAAAATGGTGTAAAAAAATGATCAGATTATTCTCCCTGTAGAAATAAGTTTAGGTACCCGTACCGAAATGCGAATCCGAAATAATAAGCGACAACAAGTAATTGTCTCAGACACGTTTATGTATGTGCCCCTCTTAAAAACCTTAGAAAAAATACTAAGCTGTAAAGAGTATACTAAATATTTAACTGCCCCTTTGGATAGACAGATTAAAATTTATGAAAATTTTAGCGATACGAATAGTTACAAAACAAATGAATTATTTTCCAAAAATCCCAGCGCTCTACAGATTCAATTATTTTACGATGATTTCGAAACTGTAAATCCGTTGGAAAACGAAAGAGGGGTCCACAAAATTGGTGCCTTATTTTTTATTTTACGTAATTTTCCTGATTTTGTAAATTCACAGTTAAAAAATATTCATCTTCTAGCCTTATTCTATTCGGAGGACGCAAAGAAATACGGTTACAGATCGATTTTTAATCATATTATACCAGACATTAAAATTTTAGAAACTGAAGGCGTTAATGTACTCGGAAGGGGCCAGACATTTTTTGGAACCATTTGCGCGCTTGCTCATGATAATCTGGGGGCGAATTCCTTACTTGGTTTTATGGAATCCTTCAGTGCGAATTATTATTGTAGAATTTGTTGTGTTTCAAAACCTGATGCTCAAGAAAAATTTGATCATTCGGAATTTTTGTTAAGAAATAGGGAAAATTTACGGGACCATTTAAATCACTTGTCACATGGCGTTGTAGGCAGCTGTCCACTCGATGATCTTAATTTTTATTCTTTTGTCAATTCTCCATCGGTGGATATTATGCATGATATTTTAGAAGGGGTGGTTCCTTTTGAGCTTAAATTAGTGCTGCAGAGGCTGATAAGTTTAGGGGGTATAAGCTTAAATATTATTAATGATAGGTTAATGGTGCATGATTATGGGTTTTTGGAGTCCAAGAATAAGCCAAGTCCTATGAAATTAGATGGTCAAGGTCATCGGATTGGACAATAAACAAGGTCCCTAAAAAGGGGAAATCTTAGTGAGGGAGTGCAATCACAACTAATAAATAAAATTAGATTGGAGAATTTTTGCATCACCGCTCTCGGTTCCATTCTTACTGGATGCAGTATAAATTTTTCTTTGCATACGCATGAATTCTTAGTTTTATTGAATAAATTGAGGAAGGAATACATTTTTACTGTGTAGTGAACGAGAAGTGGGTTAAATTAACTGAGGTAGATATGTAAGATTTAATGACCAAATAATTATGAGCTACGTATTTGTTTAAAAAAATATACAAATTTCAATTTCATATATTAATTTGGCTACTCTATGCAAAATCATCGAACCTTTCGAGGGAGCAAGTGTTCTATTTAAAGGATTAATGCTTCCAGTAAAAATGGTACCGAGAGTGGTGATGCAAAAATTCTCCAATCTAATTTTATTTATTCGTTGTGATTGCACTCCCTCACTAAGATTTCCCCTTTTTAGGGACCTTGTTTATTTATAATTTTTAATTGGGTAATTAGATTGTCCATTGGATGACTGCATTGCACTACCCCTTTTCAGTAGTTTGATGCGGAATAATTTTATTAAATGCTGGGTGTTTAAAATTGAATAAATCCGTTATTTCTTAACCGATTTATATCATTTTGGTCAAAATGTCCGGCCTAGATTACTAAACACCAAAAGACCTGATCTGGAGGTGCAACACCAACAACAACAATTTCACGCAACTTACCAAGCATGTTACAGAAGCGATTAGTTGTGCTGTTTACAGTTTTGAATGTAATTTGTTTTCAATTTATTAGTCTTGCGTCGTTGTCAATGGCAATGATTTGTAGCACGAGCAGGAATTTCTGAACTTCAAATTGGAATAACTAAGCCAATTCTTAACGGATTTTGATATATTCATACTTAAAATTTTCGGGATAAACTGCCTTACAATTCGTGGGTATCAAACTGTTGATAACGTTTGCTAGTAACTAGCAATAATTACAAATGTGTTTCTAAGGCTACATTTTTGCCCATAATTCCGGTCAAGATCACGTAATCGCTTAGTCGGATCAGATCCCATTTCTATATTATGTAACAATAATCGGTGCAAAATTTGATCAAAATCGGTTGAGAAATGACTGAGAAATCGCAGATGGTCACTTTTTTGGGGTGGGTCAAATGCATACTTAGTAATTTTTTTCGTTGTTAGGTATTTGCCTCACTAAGAAAAAGCGGCTCAAGCATGGTGCCTTATCAGATTTTTGCCTGTAATTATCGGCGATTTGATTGAAACTGAGGAGAAAAAAAAATATTGGAAATTATTAATTGCGTTGCTGACTTGTATGAGTTGCGCCTTCTGCAGAAAATTTTCTGACACAACAATTGAATGTCTAAAAGCCAGCATAGTCAAGCATCACAAATTATTCAAAGAACTTTTTCCAGAAACTAGACTGATACCAAAACACCACTTTATGTGTCATTACCCTTACATAATTCGACAGAGTGGTCCCCTTATTTCTCTATGGACGATGCGATTTGAGGGGAAGCATTACTATTTTTCGCAGTTAGCCAACCGTAATAGAAACTTCATTAATATTTGTTCATCTCTTGCCATGCGGCACCAACAATACAGTTCCCATATGTTTAAAAATATTGACCTTCACGATGGACTTGAAATAGATAATGTGATAAAGGTTTGTTTATCAGAACTCGCAGATTCTTTTGATATTATTGAGTGCTTAAGATTAATTAAGGGGTTTGAATTTTGCTCGGCGGATACTTTTGTGTATTGTACTAGCAAAATCAAATATAAAGGATATTCTTATCGATCAAATTATGTAGTGTGTTTTGGAATGGGTCCAATATTTCCTAAATTTGGGATTATTTCGGAATTTCTTGTTATTCACGATAATAAGTGCCTATTCATACTCAAAGAGATGACAGTCGAATATTTTGTTTCTCATTTCTTTGCTTATAAGGTCCTAATGGGCGAACATGTAATTTTGGTTGATGTTGAAGATTTAGTCATACACGATTGCATGGAGATTCAAAAAAATTGCAAAGTTGACGGTTTGTTTGTAACGACAAGACACCATTTGTAAAGACATACATATTTCCGAATGCGCTAGAAATTAATCTTATCTTATTCTTATTATCTAAGAACCAATATAATTGTATGATAAGTAATATATATAAACATGTACATAATTTAATTCTTATATCTTTGTTTTTGTAATATGTAGAAACATGTGAGAAAATTTAGTTTCTAATAAAAGCTCAGTTAAATAAATAAATAAATTGTCATGAAATTGTATCCATATTTGCTTCCTCAGAGTCATAAACTATCACCGCAAGGAGACAAATATGTGACGGAGACGGAGATAATTCATCACTACTAGTAGGTAAATTATTTCCACTCAGAGACACAACTTACCATCATATTGAATACGTTTTGTAATCCGCAGTAACAAATTGTATCTCGACAGGTGACAATAATATTTACCTCCGCTCGGGAGACAAAACACACTTTTCAACGGAGGGAGGTAAATTATTACCCTACGGTAGACGCACATAGTACCTACACGAGGAGACGATTTAAGTGGCAATTTTGCTGAGAGTGTACACCTCATCTCAAATCTACATAGTTGGCAGCATTTGGACATATGTATGCAGTGAGGATCGAAAATAAATTTGCTGCATAATTGTCGTAATCAGATGATTAAGTTAGATCACACAAGTGACGATTTTACTTAAATGTGCCTTCACTATTTCATAGCCACGTAATTCCAGATAATATGTAGTTATAATAATAAAAGCATACAATGGAATACATATAGTAAAACACGTCGCCCAAGCACATGTAACGATGTAGTAATTAAGGATTTAAAACTAAATGACGAAAAGTGAATCCGGGACTTTTCTGTCCTCTTAATACGAAGGGTTGTCGTCGCAGGGACGCGATAAATGTTCCAAACCAGGAAGGTTTTGCATGCGATACTCTTTTTGGAAATGTGCCGACATGAAAACGGACAACTATTTGTTATCTGTTATGCAAGCCGTTTGTTCAATATACACGAAGTAAATTACAGTGTATGTGAGAAACGGGCCTTAAGCCTAGATCTGAATAAACTACGGTGTTATCTTTATGCAAAGGAATTTACAGACTGATTTTATCCGAAATTAATTGTAGTTAAAATTTTTAAGGGAGTTTAAGATGTTTATAAGGTCCAATTTTTAAGTTATACATTTCATTAACATGTAAATTTTCAATTTGCTGGGTATCCACTATTAATTACAAAAACAGTGGATATTACAGAAAGTTGGGACGCAAAATTACCTAGATATGTACATTTAAGAAAATCAACGACAAAGTTGGCAAGGTAGATGTTACGAAAATATAACTATCTTATTAAACTTACAGATAAGACTTATGTATTTGGGCTTTTTAGGAATTTACTGTCCGTCGATAAAAAAAATTCTACGAGATAGCGTAAAGTCATGGTTTGAATTAAGGGGAAAACTATCCAATATAAATATGTACGAACCCACACTTTTGCACAATTTTGGCCAGCTTTAAATTAGATTTGCATATACCGTTCTACCCCTCATAGAAGGGTTGGACCCAGGCATGACTAAATACTTGCTGAAGGAACTGCCCCCAGATTTTGCAGCCAAGGTTCAAAAACAGACAAGAATGTCAAAGATATCTTTCTACAACACGAAAAATTCAAGACCAGGTTTCCTACCAAAGGAAATCAAATTCAAAAAGGAAATCTATCCTGGTACATATTCTAGACTGTACCGTAGCTCCATGATGATTGTGACGACACCCAGTGTTACGTACAATGAACACTGGGTGAATTTAAATATAAGAACGGAAATATGTAGGATACATACACTACACTCAAAATAAGGTACTAATGAATCATTACCAGGCGGAATGACTATGTGGCTATACCACGTCGGTTACGATTTGTCGTAGAGATGGTAATAATTAGTTCGAGGAAATTCAAATTTAATACATAATGGTATTCACTTCCTTAATATCTGGTAATGAATTTGAATTTCCCTGAACTTATTATTACCACTTCTATGACAAATCGTAACCGACGTGGTAGAGCCACATAGTCATTCCGCATGGTAATGATTCATTACTACCTTATTTTGAGTGTAGCTATCAATGAAGTGTGGAAAAAGTAAACTTATTTAAATTTTGGCATAGGCCACCGTACACTCACTTATTTTAGACAGTGTAGTCTGTCAAGCGATGTTTAGTCGGCATTATATGTATACATACATCCACCTAACATGTGATTATGCGGACAATGCGATGGTGTGAAGTGTAACCCTCCGATGATTTGGTTGAAATTTTAAAATCATGGGGTCCAGACGAATACGAGCATCGTTTCTTGAGGCAGTTTGCGCGATGGTTGTAATTCGTCAAAATACTTGAGGTCAAAGTTGGAAAACTAGTTTTTAGCAGGCGGAGCATGCAAACTCAACTTCAATTCTCTATCCGTGCTAAAAATCGCCCATTTTCAACTTTGACCTCAAATATTTTGACGAATTTCAACCATCCTACAAACTATCTCAATAAGAAACGTTAGTTGCTTTGACTTAAATTACATAATTCCATAATTTTACCTAAATCTGAGCGTTACACTTCACACCATCGCATTCTTATTTAGATCTCGGGTCAAAGCCCTCCAACGGAATGTTCACAACGAACAACAAACCTTTCGTGACAAGAATCTTATCGCAAGATGAGTAGTTAAATTACATATTTAAGCGTATTGACATTATATGAGGTACGAAACCTTGTGCATAAGTACGAAATTTTTGGCAAGTGGTGCGATAACCTTATGCGTAGTTTCAAATGTGTACTACTTAATGTATGTACATATTTTAAAGTTTAAAAATTGACGACGTGAAGGAACTTTAAGTATTTTAACCTAGACGACATGATGACAATAAAGCAGGTGTTACTTGGTGTAGGATTTCTTGCGGGAAATTTGCACCACGGCGTGAGCTCAGCCTACATGAAATGTTTGTACATAAATATATATGTATGTAGCTCCGGACCGAAAACAAAAATAAGTCGGGATGTTTCCTTGGTTCCGGAACTCGATAAATTGTCCATTCCGTCCTTCTGAAATTTTGATGAGGACAAGGTTTTCATTAGATCTACATATATCAAACAGAGAAAAAATAGCAGTTACCCCTTTAAGTAAATACAGTAATTAATTAATTAGGGCAGGATTCAGAGTGTAGTCGGATCGATGTTTTCAAAAATCCAATCCGATCCGATCCGAATTGGTCGGATCCTTAAAAAATCCAATCCGAACCAATCCGACTTGGTCGGATCCTAAAAAATCCGACCCAATCCGAGCCTGCCGGATTCGGATTGGATTGGATTAATCCGAGTAAATCCGATATCCTACTGCTCTCTATAGTGTAGTCGGATTGATGTTTTTTGAAATCCAATCCGACCCGATCCGACTTGGTCGGGTTATAAAAAATCCAATCCGATCCGATCCGACTTTATTGGGTCAGAAAAAAATCCAATCCGATCTGACCCTGTCGGATTCGGATTGGATTGGATTAATCCGGTTAAGTCGGATATCCGACTACTCTCTGGCAGGATTATTATTTCGTATGTACATATGTACGTACTTACATGAAAAGATATGCAAACCGGATTCAATAAATCAAACGTCTAAACCAACTTTTCCCATCTAATAAATTTCAAGTTTTGTTTCTGCAACGGACTGAAATTTGAAATTATGAAATTAAATTTCATTATACTAATCCTTATATGTAGAGAAACACAAAAACATATACTTTTTACCCAAAATGTATTAATCTCCTGAAGATCGAGTGGACTAATTTTTCTGGATGGAATTATATTTTTGGCAGATCGATTTCCATCAAAATCGGTTTAATTTTTATTATACCTTCATTACAGTTAAGAAAAATATAGGTAGTTGTGTTTCTAAAATTTAAAAGATATTTAGACCTCTACTTTTTGAATCTTTCATATACACATTAATTTCAGAACTAAATATGTACGAGTAGCGTTATTGTGTATCTGCTTACTTGTGCCAGTCTGGGAGATGTGTAAATCTGTCTGAACATAATTCAGAAATAAAAACAATTCACTTTTACTAAATAACGACGGAAAATACGAGTCCGTCCAATTCAAGAAGATGTCGGATTCAAGAAAATTCCGATGGCACGGGAAATAGAAAGACAAATTTTTATTTATGTTCAACATCTTATTTTGTTGCTATGGTTACCCGACAAGCAAATGTCGGGTAACTAGAAAACTAACCCTCCTCGGGCTGAAAATATCAAATATCTATCCTTCTTAAAATATCCGACTGACTAACTGAAGTTATAGTTGCATGTAAGTACATACATATTTACAACGTGGACTCTAAACTGAACTGGGTTTAGAGAACATTTATAAATAGCTTGCCCACATCTGTGTTATATTTAAGAGAATTCGGAGATGTGGTATTTGGTGTCTCGTTTCATCTCTAAGAGAGAAAGAAGGCTGAGAAAAAAACATAGGCAAGAAAGATTTGTATATGATTGTAATTATTTGTAATTGAATTTGTAATAGTTGGAAGATTAGTTTTGTTGAGTTTATTACTCAAAACCTATTAAAACCCCTGGGTTATTATTACTTGATTGAAATCCTGGATTTTTCCGAACCCTGAGACAAAGTTTCATGAAAATTTGCATGCAAGCACCCGTCACAAATTCATGACGCGTAGAGCAGAAGAATAAAATGAGACACAAGTTGCCGGGGAGAAAGTGACAATAAAATAAAACACATGTTATTACATATTTTCCTTCACAGTTCACAGTTTTGATTTTATGTAAAAGTATTAATAAAAAGTGTTCAATATTAAAAAAAAATATATTAGTATTAATTCCTCTCGAAGCAGAGGTAATGTACTTAATGCAGAAGTAATTAGTGCTAAAATATATATAGGTAGGTAAGTCTCTCTCTGAAATTTTATTTTTCCATCCAACATTTTAATTAATCTGCACTTTAAACTTATAAAACACGGGAAAGCGTAATGACAGCATATTTGTAATTAGTTAATGAATTGAAGTCACGTATAAAAACATTTGTAATTATTTACAGAGTGGGCAGACTTCACTATTTACGTATGCATGTAATCGAAGAGATTAAATTACGGCAAAAATGTAAGAAACTTTCTTTAAAATTTTATATTTCTTTATTTATTTATTTACCTAGCCAATATTTTAATGTGTACGTTAAAATTCTACAACAAGCTTGAACTTACTTACACTGGATATTTCTAATTAGATGGCGTTACATAAAACCTGCATTTTTTGCAGATTTGAGGCTTCCATTCTTCTAAAATTTGACCAAGACAAGAATGAAAAATGGACGAAAAATTGTGTCGAGTCGATCTCCTGCCTTTTCCAAATTCCGGACGACGACCACACCCTCCCCGGAATCTTATCAAATGCTCACTACTGCGATAAGTGTCGTCAACTCGTTCGCGACGTGGATTTCACGATGCGCCTCTTCGCCCAACTTTTGCAGCGCTTGGAGGCCGTGCAAAATCAAATTTTGGATAAGTTGTCCCACAAAAAAGATGAAGATAAGATTACTCAAGATTCTAAGAATCTAATGACAGATTGTAAGTTGGGATAAATAATAATGAGACAATTCACGCGGTCATTGATAAATTTGCAAGTAAAAATTTTACTGTAAAATCCATTCGTTTTTCTTAGGTGAGGCATAGTAACCATGACAACATGAAAAAGTGCATGGTTACGGCGAAGCCTAAGAATGCAAACAGACCCCCCCTCCCAAAGTTCCACTCAAGTTTGTGACAAAACGGCTAATCCTATCAAAATGGTGTAAAAGACAATCGTGCAGACCTTGCTGGGTAGATGATGCCCGTCAGGTCTAGAGACATGGCAATCTTATTTTAACGCACTTAAAATCGATTTTAAACTTTCAAACGACTGGCAAATTCACTTTTACCATGCAATGATAGTGCGAGACCCTGATTTTCATGTGCAGAAATCTATAACGCGTCATTTAAAGCAAACCCGAGCGAAATCGGATAAGAAATGAAAGACTTTTCTTGGTGGTATCTGCAACCAGTTACGTTACTTCTAGCAGTCCTCCATTACTTATCATGCATACCTAAATACGAGGTTTCCATTAGTAACCAACATAAGTGAAACAATTGAGACCTGTACTGGCGTATGGAAATATGTACATCTACATATATTATGTGTATATCTAATATTTATGCACACTCTTAACTGAAGTTAAGAATGTACACTCTTAAAACCCGGTGCTCTTTCACAGCCTGATAATAAATCTTCCCGGCATGGGGACAAATTGTCACTAGCTAGTGTTAATTTTAGGTGAGACACCTTATTACCGCACGGTGAAGTCACATACGCACACCGTTTGGTGACGATTAACACCGGGTTTTTAAGAGTGTAATAGAACATGTAATAGCTCCGTACTAAAGTTTTGCCATATCGGCAGCAAATTTTTACGGACCGGTATAATTTTAATACCACGCAGGAACTTTGATACTGAGAAAACAATACCTACCTGAATATACCAGATTTCTACAGTGTATTTACACTTACAAATAGGGAATTTATCTGATATGTAACGCATCCGCATTCAAAGGTTATAATTAATTTGGTATGCAATGCAATGCATCTATACCATAGGGGATGGTGAAGTGAATTTGGGAGGGACTCTTATTTTTAGGCTTAAAAACAAAAAATAAATGAATTCTTAAAAAAAGCTTAGGTGAGGCTTGCTTAAAAGAGGAAAACAAGCTGTTATCATCGTGTACTAAAATAATATGCGAAGTCAATGTTCATCTCACGATTTATAATTTTTGGCAAATATAACAGCAAATTATATGCGTTTGGGACAATTTGCCTCGCCGTTGGACAGTTTGTGATACGAAGAATTAAAATATATTTTAAAATTTATTAGTGTCCAATGTCGATAAATAATTCATACGGAATGATGCGGGGTTTAGTTAATTTCGTTATTAATAATCGCTTGCTGATAAAATTTACGAAGTGTGGGTTATTTATAATATAAAATATCATAGTTCAGAACACTTAATTTTTCAAATATATGTAGGTAGGCTGATTTTTGAAACATATTCATGCAAGTCATCAAAGATAACAGAATCAAATAATAACGAAGTTTAATTATTGCAATACGTATCATAGCTAAATATAGTTCAAATTTAGCTATGATCATTAAAAGATATATTTATATCAAACATTTAATCACGGCCCACGGCGAGGTATATTGTCCCAAACGCATATAATTTGCTGTTATATTTGCCAAAAATTATAAATCGTGAGATGAACATTGACTTCGCATATTATTTTAGTACACGATGATAACAGCTTGTTTTCCTCTTTTAACCAAGCCTCACCTAAGCTTTTTTTAAGAATTCATTTATGTACCATTCATACTTTCGCAAATTCTTACTAAATATCTATAGTGATGTGAGCAAATTTCCAAAAATTTATACGCTAATTTTCCTTAGAAATATTTATTTCTGGAAGTTCGCAACTTTAGAAAATTTTGGGCGTTAATTGCCTCAAATCATTATTAACTTTATTTTTCTCTCTCTTTCTAACTATATTTTTCGTTTTTTTTAAATTATCCCCTGTATTTATTTAGTATTTCGCCAAGGAAGTGCAACCATAAACTTGGGAATCGAGCAGCTCAAAAGGGTCTTGAATTTGGAAAGATTGACGACCAAACGTGACAATAAACTAGAGTCGTCGCATTATTCCGAGATCCAGAAACGTGGCACGCGTGGCGTTAAGAGAAAAATTCATTACGCGAACGACCATGAAAGTGAAATCATGGTGAAAGTGGAAACCGAGTTTGCTGAGGGACCAGGCAAGTTTAACGAGCAAGATCAAGTTTGGTTAATGGACGAGGACGACCATAATTCATCTCGGGACGATTTGTCTGACCGTGAAATTTCTCACCATGATTCCAGTAAGTATGAAAAAGAAGAAAGTTCAAAAATATTAAAACCTCGTCGAATAAGAGAACGAGGAGTATCAATCATCAAAATGGATTTTAAATGTCCCCTCTGCACCGTCCGATTTGCGTCACAACTTGCGTTGGATTGTCATCGTCGTAAAATTCATGAAGGCATTAACCTATTTTTTTTATTTTATAAATCATTGAGTCCTTTGTGGCATTGTATAACTGGTAAATTTGTAAATTTACAAAATTTACGAATATTTCCAAAGAATGATTAACTTGTAACTTTATTCAGATCATAGGTTTCTTTTTAATCGTAAGTTTACGGATTTTATAAAGCTCCGAAAACTATGGTTAAACTTGCCTCATTAAACTTACCAACTTTTACCAAATTTTACAAATTGTATCGTTCCATGGAAATTTTTACAAATTTACGTAAGCTAAGCTTACTAAGCTTATTTGGTTCGATCAAGGGCGTCGTCTTTGTATGTCAATCATAAAAGTTGATTGTATGTAACCCTAATTTGGAAAACTTACTCATTTTACAAAGTTCCCAATGAATTACTTGAATTTTTTCACGTTTAACTTTCTTGCCTTTCTTTCAGAGGACCCCGTCCCCTTCCATTGCGACAAATGCCCCAAGAAATTCGCCGTCTATAAAACTTTCACCCGGCACAAAGCCCGTCTCTGCGGCACGCTCCCGTCCCCCCGCAGAAAGGTCGTGAATTTGACGACTAATAAACGTGACAATAAATTAGAGTCGCCAAGTCATTTTGACGTCGAGAAACGTAATTTTACACGTGGCGTCAGGAGAAAAATCAATTATGCGGACGAGACTGAAGGGGAAATCAAGGTAACCACGGAGACGGATGACCACGTGGAGGAGCCAGACCAAGACTGGTTAATGGACCAGGATGACGATAATTCATCTCGTGATGACCGTGATTCCAGTAACGATGACGAACAAGAAGAGGGAGAAAGTGCAGGAAAAATAAAACCTTCTCGAATCACACGACGAGGACCACCACTTGCAAAAATGGATTTTAAATGTCCCCAATGCAGCGTTCGATTCGCGTCACAGCTCGCGTTGGACTGCCATCACCGTAAAATTCATGAAGGTGTTACCTCAATTTTTATCAATTTAAACCATGGCTCCGGAGGAGGTGGGTCATGTCTCCCGATAGAAATCAATTCAACCTCATTTCCTATCTCGGACTGTTCTTAATGTCCTCCTACAGGTCCCCCCTCACTTCAGCCGCCACTATTTTCAAAATTTACATATGTATATGTACATAGTTCCGTCTGATAAAAATTATGTAGCTTGATAATTCTCGTAAACATGCTCCGATCAAGGGTGACTTTCTCTTTTTACGAGTTGTCAATGAAATTATTTTATGTACAAAACTTATGCAATTTCCAAATTACAAATGACCACGTGAATCTTGTCCCTGCATCTTTTTACATTTAACTTTCTCCTCTTTTTTTAGAGGATCCCGTTCCCTTTCACTGTGACAAATGCCCCAAGAAATTCGCCGTTTACAAGACCTTCTCACGTCACAAAGCCCGACTCTGCGACACGCTCCCGTCCCCACGGTCATCATCATCATCTCATCCCCCCGGAGGAGCTTCCTTCCTGTGCGAATTCTGCTCAAAGAAATATACATCTGCCACCTCCTTGGAAAACCATGTGGCCTCCTCCCACTCACAAAAACATTGCGAATTATGCCATTTCGGCTTTTCTACCGTCCAAGAGCTTCAAATTCATGAACAACTCCACCTCAATTCTGACCAACCCTTCAAATGCGTCCTTTGTTCCGACGTAATCCTCACAAATTCGTCCAACCTGAAAAAACACGTGCTTTCTTCCCACACCGATACCCAAATTACCTGTCCCACGTGCGGAATCAGGCTAAATGCTCTTAAAGCGATGAAGCGCCATGAAAAAATCCACCAACCCGGCTTCGTCGGATATCCTTGCAAAATTTGTGGATACACCTTCAATAATGCGGCAGCCTTGAAATTCCACTCGTTCAAACACTCAGAAACGAAACAGTTCACGTGCGAAATTTGTGGGAAGGGGTTCACTTATCAGACCAGTTTGAAAATCCATTTAGCCAGTCACAGCGAGCAGGCGAGATTTTCATGCAAAATTTGTGGAAAAGGATTTTCCTACAAACCTTTTCTCATGCGGCATGAAGAAATCCATTCGGGCACAATTAATTACGAATGTTCCACCTGTGGGAAAAAATTCAAGACGAAGAACAGTTTAAAACAACATGTCGCGACGCATGGGCCCAAAAATCGGGATAAAAAACCAAGAAATAAAAAAATTCAGAGAAATCAAGGTGAAGATGACGATCAAGATGGAAATGCCATCGCGACAGATATGCGACAAATAATTTACATGTAACCCGAGGCTGCGGTAGCGTGGGGACATGTTACCCACAACATTACTCCACGTCATACATACATGGGGTCAAATTTATTGCGCCCAAGAAAATAATATTTTGTTCCAAAGAAAATTAATTATTTTGTTATTTTGTTATTGTTGTTTTGTTAATAATTAATAAGTTTATACATATATGTATAAACCCCTCCCGGTACGAGTCCTTACATGAACATTAAACTTTATGCACTTCTGAATATGTAATTTGTTTGTCTTCCAGTACGTTAAAATTTTAATCGTCTCAAAGATAAAACAAGTATAAATAGGGTAGGAAATTTCAATTTATAAACATTTTTTATGTGCATATTTTCGAATTTCGTAAGTACATGCATAGTATGCATTGCATAGGTAGGTATTAAATGTATTGATTACTTACAGTAAATATGTATGTCCCATACATAATCTCTCTATGTTCGTTTCAACATTTTTTTTTTGCATTTCATACTTGCGGATGGTAGCATAATATTGTAGATATTTAAAAACACACGTGTCCCTCGAGAAAAATAAACGATCGTTATGGATAACTAAAAATTTTAGCTTAAGGAGAAAGTTAAGCATCCACAATGTTTAGTTCAAACTGGCCATGTAACAATGCAAACACTTATTTTCCCCTTATTTTAATGACGTTCACCTACATACAAATTCACCATAATTTAAAGTTTCCTGTTATTAAAACTATTCAAATTTCCTACGAACTTTGTGCTCAGCTAAATTATGATAGTCAACCTATTATAAAATAAGGCGATGATAGAATTTAATTTGACATCATTCTCCCTTGATCCATATTTCTAAATAATTCCGCAGCAATTGATTGCGAAACTATTCAAAAAATTCCACGAGTAAGACCACCAAAACGAGCTGGTATCAGCAGGCTTATGTATCTATAAACTTGATAAGTATCTCATCCAGCTTGTAACGATTACAGAATTTTCCATTTCAAAATATTTTCTATGAAACATCAATTTGTCAAAATTATTGTTCGGGTATCAATAGAAGTTGCTGCTCCATATTTCGCCATTTCAATATAGGCAGGTACCTTAATTTGTAAGGAGTAAAACCATAGGACGTCATATTATAGGTAATATTATGAAATTAATAAAACCTTAGCAAACTTACCAAAACTAGAGAAAAATGTTATAAATTTCAAGCACTTAGAAACAAAATGGTATTTTTACAAAGTAGTCGCCTCCTTCTCCCGATTTTGTTACAGTTTATCTTCAAAAATTTAGCAATGGGAGAAACAAAAAAATTCCTGACGGAAATCCCCGTTAAATTTACCGAATATCTTCACCCATTTGAAAACTGTACGACATTGATTTACACTCCGCTAAATTTCGATTTGAACTTCCCCTCTAAGCCAACATTTGGACCAATTGTCATACTTCAGTACCGAATATATATGAGGCTGGAGACCGAAAAAACGATTTTTGACAAATTTTCTTTGCAGCGAAGACGTAACCCTTTCCAGCATTGTTGGGCAACGTTTGCTATTCTACCAGAACAAAATTATTTGCCCAGGTATAATGCACTCTTCCTTCTCCAACCCTACTTCGTTGATTCGGCTTGGCAGTTACAATATTTCATTTGGGTGACAACCATTAAAAGCGGTGTTCAAGAGTATATAGCACATATACAAATCTGAGTTAATCTTGGCTCACGAGAAATTCTAATAGTGGATGCCAATAATTTAATGGAAGAAAGCTCTCTGCTACGGATGTACTATCATAACATGCACCACATCAAGACTCCCCTCGTCGGAGTTAAACCCACTAATCCTAAAGCCTTCTACACCATAAACTGTCTGCCGTTCAACTGTTTCAACCAATTAAGTATAATAAGTAAGCATGTGTCTAAACTAAATAAGTATTTTTGGTCTTCACCTTTTGAATTCAAACAAAGCATAACCACCCCTCGTTACTTTTCTGGGGACATTGACCTTACCTTTCATGGGTATCGTGGAATAGCAAATTTAACTACGCTGAATGGTTTACTCGCATTTTTGATTTTACAAGACATGTGGGCACTCAAGTCAACAAATCTCACAGCGATTCATAGTATGCCACCTATTCAGAGCCTTCTAGGACAGGCACAAAGAAGAGGGTATATATTTATCCTTTATGAACGTCAATCCTACAGTTTTGTATCGTGTTATAACGCTAGGTCGAGCTTCGGAATAGTTTCTGCGCTGACTAGTCCGTTTGATGCGACAAGTTGGACATGTCTGGCGACAAATTTCGTAATAGTGGTCATAATTTTGACTGTATTACGTGGAAAAGTTATTTCGGACGTGTTGTATCTCACTGTAGGAATATCGCTAGAAAATTCGGTTCTGTTATCTCGAAGAATTTATGAGGTCTCATTTCGACTTCAGAAGCACTACTTGATGGGTATTTATGTCATTGTCGCAATCTGGACTCTGCTGGTAGGAACGATATTAACGAACTGGTACAAAACTTTGTTCACGATGGAAATGATAATCCCCACGAAATACCAATCGCCTTGGGAAAGTGTAATGGATGTCGACGGGATTCAAATTTTGATGCCCTTCTTTCTTCTCGCCAACAACGATTTTGATTTGCAGCCTCCAACAGAATATTTGCTTTATAAATATTTTTATCTTGATATTCTTTACCGATGCCAGGAAATAGCTGAACAAGGTGCAGAATATAAACGCCTGGCGGAGTACAGGAAAACGGCTACAAGTTTAGTTAGACGTCTTCTGTATCATTTTGGATATGATGAGAATTCCAGATTTTCAAGGAACCGCACATTTTCGGCTTTGGACGATGTTAAAAATCCGCCAGCCTATAATAAAAGTGCATTACATGATTTTTCCATTCAGCCCGTGGAATACAATAAAGAAGACAGTCACGAGATAATAAAAACGTTGTCGGGTTGTGGAAAAGTAGCGCTGTTGGAAACAAAAGAAAATATTGCGAGACTTACCAGTTACTTAAACGATAACGATAAAAAGATCGCTTTTGTGAGCGGGCATGGAGACTCTTTTTTTACAACATCGACAGGTTGGATGTGGATTCCGGTTAGGGAAAGTTACGCGGAGGCGCGTCTCAAGGTGATGATCTCGTCAGGAATTTGGGCGCATTGGGAATTTTTCTATAAATTATGGAAACCCAAGAAGCTGCTTGATCACTATGCTAATTGGAGGCACCCAAAAGTCGAGGCCGTATCCAAATTAGATTTCAGCTATAAGATAATAACGGGTTTCTATATTTGTGGCATTTGCTTGGTTAATTGTGTCTTGGTTTTGTTTGGAGAGATGTTGAAGCATAAACTGTCTATGGCGCTTATATACTGGAGAATGCGATAGTGTGATGTGTGAAGTCCAACGATCCGATTTGGTTGAAATTTTAAAAGACGGTGTGCGTATGCATGGATGCAGGCATGGATGTATGACTTGTAAATAGGATGATGATGTGTATGCATGGATATATGATTTATGCTTAACTCTTCTAGGGCATGGCCCGTTGAGTTCCATTTTAATTGCAATATGCTATTAATGGAGCTTCGTGCATAATTATTCAAGATAGTGTTGACTAGAAATAGAAGGTTACCCTAATCAATAAAATAATATATGTAAGTTAATATACCTTTTTAGTTGTCTTATTAAAAGACGCTATACATATTTACATACATAGTGTGCCCAATAATTTCGAGAATTGCATTATATATAATTTTAACTTGGACGAAATGTTAAATTTGCAAACATATATGTAATGCGCAAACTATATGAAAATAAGAAATTCAAGCTATGTACATCTCGAAATTTAGTGGTAAAGTTATCTTTCTAGTTTGAATCCGACTTTATTTTATTTTTACTAGTGTCGTAATACGAACATGGTAAAAAATTCTCAAATTTATTGAGCACACTGTACACATTTATCAACATTTTTATAAATTGGCATATGCATATAACTAGGTATGTTTGAGATATCACTCAACCATTTCTAACTACGTACAAACGTTATAACGTAGAAATTGTGGCATGGCTTGTGATTGGACTCATGCTAAGGTGCATATTTATGTACATACGTACGTGCATACATTCTTCTTATCAGCCCACGAATTTATTGCGATTGATAAAATTTCAAAGTCAAGTACTCAACCATATGTGAATTGAGGCATTCATATTATTGCAATGTAACGTAGACTATGGCACAGTCGTGATTATTTTACGGATAAAAACTTGACTTGTACGCTTCAAACTTTGGGCTATATATTCCTTTCAAAATCAACCATTGAACGAACATATTTACATTCATCCATAAACAGCGAATTCCGGGTATATTTCAATTCAATTATGTATAAATTGTCATTCTAAGCATTTCATTAACATCGAAGTGATAATATAAATTGTGTCTACAATGCGTAAAGAGTTTCAGCTATTACGGTGGCCAAGATTACATTTATTGACGACATAGAGCGCGGAATAACAAAGGATACAAGCTATTAGCGAAAGGAAGATTTAGGGGGTGTTTATTTTTTGCCATGCATGCAAGTGGGACAGGTGGGGCGGCCAGTTCGCCAGCTCCCAAACCAATGAAGTTCACGTAAGAATTTACATATTTATAATACACAAGTATAAACAAGCTATTAAAGATTACTAGCCAAATTTATTATTTCCAAACGAATACTACCAACTATGCAGGTATAGATAAGGTAAATCTTCTAAAAGACGACGTTAGCGTGTAGTTTTGTATATTTATTCTACATCCTCTCGAACTGTCGCAAAATGTTCAAATATTGGTAAACATTTTACATAATTTTTCGAAAAGCTACAGATTGTAAATTTGAATTTATAATTCTATTCCCTATAAAGAAGAATTGGAGCAATTTTATACATGCATGCGTACATACATGCGTGCATGCGTGCGTGCGTGCAAGCGTGCATGCTTGACCATCAGTGTCATGACTCAAAAAGCCGAGAGTTCGATTCCTCTTGAGTTGTATTATGCAGCAAAAAGTGTGGAACGAACTGGTATGGAAATACAAATTACTGTTCGGTGCCGGCAGATAATCTGCATAGGATTGTCTGGCCAAATCCTAAGATAGTTTGAATATCTCCTTATTTACATCCTATCCTGTTTCACCGTCCACCCCAATTTTCAATTTCAATAATTACTCCCTTTCCTCTACAGTACCTATCCTAGTAAACCTGACATGCCAGCCCTAACTATACCTTTCCTTGTAGTTGTTGATGTCAGTATCTATCTCTGTCTTGGTATTGGAAACGATGTGGCTCACATATCATATACCGCAGACGTAAAAGATTGAACAGAACAGAACAGTACATACATGCTGCCATACAAAGTACCGTACAAAAGTACCCAAAGTAATGGAAATTTTTGACTGTGGCAAACCTGTTGGAAACTACATTTCCCTAGGTTAAGATAAAATATAATATCCATATCTTTAAAAGTAAAAGCATTTTTGTGTATTTTCCTTAATAGGAACTTGCTCGCTGTCTGCAAGTACGAGCCACTAGTGTCCGATAAGTTGGCATTCCAAGTTGGAGATATTATTCAATTCATCACAGAAATCTATAGCGGATGGTGGGTTGGAATGTTTAATGAGAAACTGGGAATTTTTCCATCGGTTTTGGTCAAAGAACTTCCGCATGATTGGAATAAGAGCACTAGGTAAAAAAACGCTAAATATTTATTGTGAAGGTTCTTACTTTTTAAATATCTAAATATTTCTAAGCCCTTTATATAACTGAGTTTTTCTGTTTCATCTTCGTGCTTAACTTGAAAGGAGCTTGCTGGTCATCGACAAGTACGACCCAGTGGAATCGAATGAGTTGGCAATAAAGGTCGGAGACATTATTCAATTTCTGGTAGAAGTAAGTGATGGATGGTGGTTTGGAAAAGTTAACGAAAATCTGGGGATATTTCCATCCAATTTCGTGAGAGAACTACCACCTGATTGGGAGGAAAGTACCAGGTAACAATCGGCATTAAATTGAAACATCACATCGTGAAATCCCGTTAGTAAAAATTTTAAAATTTTCTACCTGCACATAATTAGTGTAGACATTTTAATTGTTCTTGAAAATGCTATTTTATTGGATATCATATTCTGATAATGATAGGGACTTCCTCGCTGTCTGTCATTATGATACATCAGAGTCTGATAAGTTGGCGTTCCACATGGGGGATGTTGTTCAATTTATCTCAGAAATCCGTAATGGGTGGTCGTTTGGAAAGTTTAACGAGAAGCTTGGGATATTTCCGCTAAACTTCGTGAGAGAACTACCACCTGATCGGGATAAGATACGAAGGTAAAAAACAACGCGAGACACATCGCAAATTCTGAAATGTCAGTTCTCAAAATCTTTAACTCTTAATATTTCATGTTGCTATTCTCCTTGATAGGAAATTGCTCGCCGTTGAAATGTATGCTGCTCCAGTTCAATCGAACGAGTTAGCCATCAGAGTCGGAGACATTATTGAATTTATGGTAGAAGTCAGTCATGGATGGTGTTTTGGGAAATGTAATGAAAACCTTGGGATATTTCCATCGAATCTCGTCAGAGAATTACCACCTGATTGGAATATCAGTCCTAGGTAACAAGCAGCATATATATCAAGTACATATATAAGGGTGTGTGAAATTTATATCTCATCAAATATGTACACGAGAATTTATGTCCCGACATTATGTCCCGAGACCAAAAAATAGAGAAGCCTTTCATCATAAAGACTGATACAATATCATTATCAGGCAAATAAATTATACATATTTCTGGCGTTGTCACACATATCAGAGATCGTCCTCCAAAATTAATAATACACACGTTATTGACTTACTACTTGTTATTAGTTTGAGCTTTGTTTCCAACATAGTTCAAAAATTTAATACATGAATTTTTCCAAGTATATTGACCTTGAAATGGAAGGATTAACCTCGGTGTGACCCATCAATTGTATGTAGGTGTATATTTTTAACAATGTTCTTATGAGGAGTTTTGTAACTTTGCGGGACATTCAGAATTTTTTATGCATATGTACTACATATCAGATACCCAAATATGTATACTACATATTATAAAATTTGATTTTACAGACTGTTCAAAGTCCACGAGTCATTCAACTCAGAAAGTATCGATAGACTTTGCCTCGCTTCTGGTGATATGATCCAATTCGTTTTAGACCATGACGGTAACTGGTTCTGGGGAAGGATTGATGAGCAAATTGGAAAATTTCCCAGAAGCCATGTCACAGAAATTCTTGATGAGCAAATTTCCAGAACCGCTAAAGCTTCAAATATAGTGCAGGCTACTTCTGTAATTTCATCCTATCCCTGTTACTTGGATAAGTTGAAAAAGTCAGAAATAGAGACTTATGATAAGTGATGATATTCCCGAATTTACTGAAACGATCTTCTCTATAGATATCTGGAGGTGATTTTTCCGTATGAAGCTGGATCAACTACTGAATTGGATTTAGCCGTTGGAGACTTGATTGAATTCATTGAGGAAGTTGAGGATGGTTGGTATCGAGGAAGCAATTTGAAAAATGGAAAGACTGGGATATTCCCGTCCAACTTCGTTACTGAACTGTCTGACTTTGATAGTTATCTTAGAGGACTAGGGGCCAACTTTAGTAACAAGTCATCTCCTGAAATGGACCTTTTTAACCAAGACTTCTATCAGTCTGATATAATGAGCCTGTTAGAATGCAGTATTTGTCTTGACCTTTGCGCCGGAAGGATACAAGTGTAAAAATGGGCATAATTTTGCCACTCACACACCCTGGAACTGCAGAGTTGCCCAATTTGTAGGGTTGATTATAAAGAAGGATCGGTCAGAAATGTTTTGGCGGAGCGACTGGTTGCCAAGGAAAGGGAAAAGGAAACAAAAAATGCTATTTAACGGAATTAAAAACTATCTTTCCCATTTTGATTTTAAATGGTTTAAAATAATATTTTTTAGAAAATTATGTGGATAAAGTTTGCTTACATACGTATTTATCGTTGTTAACGAAAGAGATGCTTGATTTTAAAATGTGCTGAATGCGTTTGCTTCTCAATTCTTGCTTCTCAATCTAACTCTAATAGCTGCGAAGGCCTTGATGATTATGTAAATAATTTAAAATTATAACAACAAAATCTTAATAAAAGTGTGTAACGCATAGGTAAACTAAATCGCTAATCATGAAAAAAGCGTTATGTAAATGAAAATATATACCTATTTCGTGGGGAAAGTACCCAATGGTATATTTCATCCAGTTAGATGGGAAATGTAGCTATATAAATAGCTATATAAGTAGCTATATAATATAAATCAGGATTTATATTTCATGAGAAAAGTGGTGACAAGGAGCCCAATGCCTTGGACAACTGTCGACCCGCCGAAAACAAATCATTTGTAGGCGAAATTGCGAAAAATGGAAATGGAATGAAATAACATTTTTTCTAATCGATTGATTTGTAGTTTACAAATACAATCGGCTGAAAATGAATGAAAATGAAAATGAACCTATTTACCGTCTTTCCCTGTTCACGCGAAGCTTGTTCTACCACAGGTGACGTCGTCCTAGGCTCTATACCATATATCTCTGTTTTGAGTTTCGGACTCATCACGTAGAGATTGGGTGCTCTACATGGATCTCCCATCACTTTGCTGCCACCAGAGCCATTAACACAGCTGTTCGGGTAGTGGAGCAGATTAGTGACATCACGGCCTAGCATACCCACATGCATTCATGATGTAGGAGATACCTACCCCGTACTAACACCGAGCCAAGTAGGATTAGCAATAGCTTCCCGTCTGGTGGAATCGAACGTAGGACTGCGTGGTGACATTCCTACCCTCGTACCACCAAGCTAAAGGGCCGTGCTTGAAGTGTTACGTGGCAGAGATTTGATGCAATGAGATACGATTTGAGAATTTGTTTTTATCACAGAGATGATTTTGGTGTATGTACATATTTAATTCATTCTCATAATTCTAACGTGTGCGCGGTTAGATATTCCATTTGGGCAGTTGTGCATGTAATTGTTACATGCATACCCTACCAGCACAAGTGACGATTTCATGAAGGCAAAACTGTTGGCAAATGCCGATTTTGTTCCGATGTTATAGGTACAGTAAAACTGGCACCACACCTGTACAGAGTTAGTGCTAATTTTGTTGTACCAGTACTTTTGGCACAAATTCGGTATAAAATCTGTACCGGTTGATCGTTACACACCCAGCACCGTTCAAATTATACAAGTTTGGTGGAGGTAAATATCGGTACCGATGTTTAAGCCATCCAATCGGTACTGGATCGGCACCTAAATTTGGGTAAAGAAAACAACGGTACCAGCCAGTTACCGATTCGGTATTGGTGAGACTGCAATGTCGGGTGTTTTCATTTCTCAGTCGCGGTGAGTTAGATTACACGTGGTGAATAAAAAAATAGCAAACATGGATTTAAAATTGTTTTCAGTTGTCCATTTCATAGAGGAAAATAGTTATGAAGTTACCCCTTCCAATTGGATAACACCGGATCAAACGCTTGGTTGTTTTTCCTCTAATAAACCGAAAGGACAACAAAAACCTCAATCTACGCTTGGCCATTGTGGATGATCAAATCTTATGGCACATAAATCATAAACCTACATAATCCGATAATTTTTGATGTTTAATATTTTATTTTTTATACGCAGATACCTTCGAGCGAGCCAACACGAAAATCAGAAACGTAGTCAAAGGATTCGAAACTATGTAGTGACATTGAGAAGGTCAGGAAGTCTCGACGCAAAGTTATGTCTCAATTACTCAGAGAAGAAATAATTGAACCAGAGTCAAATTTAGGTAAGTCCTATCAACAATCTATAATTTAAGCATTAAGTAGATTTTCTAAAAGTCCCACATAATATAAATTAATAACTAAATCATTTCCAGGAGAATCCATCAAAACCAATAATGGTCCGAGGTCCGACGAGGAAGAAGATTTGAGCAAGTAGATTATTAATTTACAATAATAAATTATCGAATATTATTATGTTCTTGAATATAATAAATGCTGTAAAATACAAAAAATTGTACAGTATAACATTATTTTTATCCGTATTGTACCGTTACAATGCCGATAAATGGGTGCATATTTGGTGCTAGAGTAGAGGGCCGAGTAGGTACCAGCGCACCGGCGTTGGTTACGTGATGGCATATCGGTACCAAAACTCCACCGAATATCGGCATAGGATCGGTAGTGGTAAAAGGGGCACATCGGCGTTTTACCTTCGCCTGTGTTGCCAGCACCGGTTCGTTAAGAAATCGTCACTTTTTTGCTGGTAGGGTAGGTAGGTACGTATGTTATCATGAATTCCTTCGTCGACACCACCGGTACCCTAACAGAGTGCTGAGCTGACTTGAGCTTTCTAGGGGCGGGCTTCTAACTAACAAGAATTGAATTACCTCATTGTCACATTGTAAGCCTCAAAACTAGACATGGACCGAGTACTCGGCAGGTTTTGGCCGTCTTCTCACTACTCCGACTCGGCCGAGTATTTTTGCGTGCTCGGCCGAGTATTTCTTAAATTTTTATATGCATCCAGTACCACTTTACCCGGTACTTACACCGCGTAGTTCAAATTATCCATCATGCGATTTTTGCAATTAAACTCAAACTTACTTAAAAAATACACCCATGCAATTTGTTAATTCTATCCTTTAATCAACTTTAATCAAAATGTTGGAACAGGAAGAAAAATCAGTAGCTTCACGTGATTCCGTCCACCAGTTCTCAAAATAAATGTAGTGGTAATTAAATATTATGCAAAGAATGATTTTTTTCATGCTCTTTTTGACAATTTACTCGGTGGCCGAGCCTTGCTCGGTGCTCGGCAAACGAGCAGAAACAAGTACTCGGCAAAAACATAGCCAAGTACTCGGTGCTCGGCCGAGTCGACTTTTTCGGTACTCGGTGCATGTCTACTCAAAACATGATTTTGTTAAATTATAAAAACAGTCCAGAAATGATCATGTAGAAGAAATTAAGGAAACTTTTGTGAAAATTGGTTAAAAAAAATATTGTTGCAATCTAAAAATTGCAAAAGGTGTGATTTTTACAGCTTTAATCCCCTTCCACTCCGTGAGAGGGCAGGTTTGAAAAATAGTACAGTAGTAGTTGGAAAATTCAGCTCTACAAACGCCGAGAATTTTACTGATCAATGGTTTCCATCTTTGTAGCGTACTTTTTGCACCGCTGGTACCTTTCGAGAAAAGTTGATGTACCTTGTATGACCAGAAATATATTTATTTTTCATGTGTAAATACGTATAAAAGCCAGATAGTTCATTTTTTTTGGACACATAGGATGCAAATTAATTTAGAGCATAATTTCGTATTTGCGTAACTCTGGCAACACAATTTTTAGAGGTCCCTGATCCTTTAGTACATAGGTTCGCAATAATAATTATTATCTTCCCAAGCTTAGGTAAAATACATATATTTATAGGACACACAAATTCCGTAAAATTTATACGCCTATTGGGTTAATTTTACTCAATTTTTACTCAATTATTGCTTCATCCTTTATTTCGCCCATTTTGGGTAGGTTTAGTTATTTTAATTTAGAGTGCTCAATTTTCTTACATATTATAAAAATGTAGCTAGTGAGACAGACCCCTTGTAAACTCTGCCTGTCGGTGCAACCTTTGTTTGCAAAATTCATAAAACTTGATCTCATTTCCCATCTGGTTACGAACCAGTTCTTTAACCTCTTCGGAAATCTTGGGTTTCCCCTCATTTTTATTAATTATGCCCAACTTCTCTTCAGCTTTGACGTAAGTTTCCTTCGCACCGGCGAATACTCGAGGAATGTAGGCTTCGAAGACTTCCAGACTGAGATCTAGTTCTTCCAAGACGCCAACCACGGAATAATATTTGTCCACGTTTTCCATCGCTCTGTTCAACGCCCATTCACCATTCTTTTCGCTGAAAGAAATTTAATGGCAAAGTAAAAATTGTGGTATGACGATTTCATGCTTTTATTTGAAGTTATGGGTTAAACAGAACGAAAGCAGGCAGATTTTCTTTAGTTGTTAAAAACCCAGTTAAAAAACAATATGCAGATGGACAGAGTGGGGAACTAAACGTGTAGATGAGAGAAGGGTCCGTTGGATTATAAAATTCTTACTTGCATCGCTTATCCATTCCACAAAAGAACATCATTTGACTCCAAGCATTTTCAGGTTCGAATCGACACTCGTCATAATTTTGGAGCACACATGTCGAAAAATCCTGCAAAAAGTTATGATTCGTTTGTTAATCTCCTTTGAAGTACCTATGTAACATTAAAGTATTTACCATCTGTAACTACTTGGCGTCGTCGGGTGGGTTGTCCTTCTTAATTTTTGCACCATGCGACCTCACTCTGTTCAAGCGGATGTAGTAATACATGAAATTATCCGCTCCACGGGATCCCTCACCATGTTGATGTAAACGACCTGGTCGCAGCCACCCCCTGCACGTGTAAAATTTACCATGGCAACGTGCTTACTGTACACACTGGGTGGTTGCTTGGGCAGCTGACAGAGGGTGCGGGCAAGCTACTTTTCTTGACCACAGTTCAACCTGGGGTTCATCCAAGGGTGGACAGCGTCTTAGAAGAAGGGGAACCCATTCCTTTTGGACAGTCTCTTCATCAAAATTATGATCATGGTGCTCCCAACTTTTGGGACGCGGTTAAAAAATATAAGGTCTGGATTGTGCGCAGTGACGTTCTTGGGCTGGTCATCAAATGAACCCTTCGTTGAGGAAATGAAGAGAAAGAGTGTTAGGAAGTAATGAACGGACATTTTGGACTCGGTCCAGACTCAGAAATGGGGAGACGAAGGTACTCATGTGCATATATATCTCCCAAATCAGAGATCCCCTTGAGTTGAGTCGAGTCAAGCTTTGGACAAACTTCAAATTTTTTTATGGGACAAATCGAAACTTTGAATTACATAGGTGAAATTGGGTTTAATTGCATTTGTTGTATTTAGTACTAAATGTTTTACTGTTAACTACATACACACATGAATTTTTGATATAGATGATTTTATTCAAAAAATAAATTTATATGTAGCAATATGTTTGCTACTCCAAATATTGAAATGTTTTATGTCCAGAGTCTCCTAAAATTTTCATAGTAGTCGCCTGACGTTGGAAATCCGAGTACATTTGACGTCTCGCAATGATTTCAATAGAAGTACATATTCAAGATTTCTGACTTTTCCAAGTCTGGACCTTTATTTGGTAATGTGCAATGCATCAGTACGGGTTTTTATACAACTTTACTATACTCATTTTTGTATTTTTGGGGCGAATAATTTTTTGGCTAAAGACTTGGTGCATTAAGTATGTACTTATTCATCAGTTTTAGTTACCAAATTTAAATTTGGACTATTATTCTGCTTAGACTTTCCAGGCTGGTATCGAACTAGAGTTGAATTCAACTCGAAGGGAGCACTGGGTCCAGTTCTGCTTCAGACAAATAATAATTAATAGGTTAATTATTTTGTTTTTTCCAGACCAGTTCAAGACTAAAAAATTACATGTTAAAGATATATCTACATATGTGTGGCAAACCAAGTGTATGCACAAAAGTACGTCAGAGTAACGTAATTTTGAGTATACTTATGTACATGTTTCGTAAATTTTGCAATTGAGTTAAAATTCGAAACGCTATACCCTTTCAAAACATACTGAATTTGGTTGAAACCATATTTAACATTCGCATTCTGGTGCGTCTTCTGGAAAACGCTAAATTATGGGTGGGTTTATTTCTTAACGTAGACAGTTTCAAGTCTAGACCGAACAAAATTGCAGGCAATCGCCTCATAAATCAGCATTGTTAATTGAGCAAACGCACATTTGAACTTTGCGACAAACCATTATTACCTCGTCTTGGTAGTTATTAGCATGATAATATGTAATTGCACTCGAATATTCGTTGGTCAGTCAAATAACCATGCGTGCAAATATTTAAGGATCCAATTTATTCAGAACCATATCCTCAATTTTTTGCCCATTTGTCCATTTACTGTCAATTTGCACGTTTGGGCGTTTTGCCTGTGCATTGGGTTACCTAGGTGTTAAATATTTCACACCTACAGGAATGAAGACTAGCAGTGTGTCCAAAATTAATTCGGAACGCCCAAATGCCCGTTAGCTTAACTACACTCAAAACAAAATCGTAACCAAATCAATTCCGGGCGGTGTCACTATGTGACTTAACCGGATTGGAATTAAACCAACTCCGCGCGGATATAATATGCTTCACTGCAGCGGAATCATTTGTTGCTGGTTTGTAACAGGGCGGAGTTAAAACTAACACCACGTTAGTGTAACTTATGATTCCTTTAGGAGACGATTTAAATTTTATTTCCGGCATGGTAATGTTGAACGTCACAGTTTCGGGAATTTATTTATTTATTTTAAAATCTTTGAAATTTGTAAAAATTTATAAAATTTGTAGTAATTGTTACACAGTATAAATGCAATCTATTGCATATAAATATTTATAGGTAAAGACATATGTACATGCATGTTATTAATTACACAGTTATGTGATAACTCGATAAAATCGTGTATTATTAAGTTGTTAAAATTAATCAGCTCTGAAATACAATTATGTATAAAATCAGATATTATCCCAAAATTTGAATAAATCGGCCCCATTCCAAAACTAACTACTAAATAATTTCTGAAACTAATCCAAAATCTGTCCAGTGGAAGTTGTAATACTGCAATGAGTTGAATGAGATTGAAACACGAAAAAATTGTATTTAGTGTCTCCAAAAAAAAACGATGAAAATAATTTACCATATGGAGAGTCCAGCGTGACCTCAAAATTTCGCTTTTGACCAGGAAATTGACATCAGGGATTTTATGCTGCCTGAGAAAGATGAGAAAGACTTCGGAATAAATTTGATTGTCTTTCAGCACGATCTTATTCTCTAAATTTATTTTAAATTTATTTTACTAAAAATATTTATCAATGAATAGAAAATATTAAAGTACTTAAAGATTTAGGTTTAAAATTAGTTAACTTACACGTTCCTATGAAATTCTGATAATTATTTGGGGAAACAATTAACTTATTGAAACTCGGAATTGTTTTTCTCCATGTCGCTGCTTACGGTTCTAAGGGCAAGCTAAAAAGTTGAGCTTGCCGGGCCGTGAGATTGTTATATTTTTGTAATAAAACCCTCACCGAGAGGAATTGAATTTGTCTCCGCTGTGTGTGAAACATTGTTACCGTTGACGGGGAAGATTCAATTCCGCTCTAGTGTTAAGTCGGTGTTAATTTTAACATAAAAAGGTTACAACTTTATTCCATAGTGTATTAAATTTAATACTGCTAAATGTCGTTTGCCCCAATATCAACGGTGTTAATTTTCCAAGCGCACGGATACAATTTTGGAGGCAATATTATTTCCGTGGCCGTTATGTTCGGTATCACAATGGAGCGGTAATGATTTTTTTGTGGATTTTAACACCGCTTTGCTAAGAGTGTAATCCTACATTAGCGAACAATCTAGTTTTCGCATATAAATGGGCCATTATCAAGGTACATTGGACACATCGTCCTCACAAGCTGTATAATTTTCCTGAATTACTCACTACTTGCATAATAGGGAGTTTTAATATGTTAATAGTTAGGTATGAACTCACAAAAATTTCATATGCCACACCACCCGGAAATAAACTTTGCAGCGAGTCCCAGTTTGACTTTCAACATTCAAACGCGCGTATGTTTAAGTAACTTAACCAATGATAAACTTATCACGTATAAAAAGACAATGCTAATGGAAATTAGGACATATTAGGGTTAGTCAGAAAATTCAGTGTTCTTACTAAACTCGGAATTTTCATTTGCCCGACACGAGCATCCAGAAATTTAAATTTAATCCTACATCTTAAAGGAAAATGGTTCCTAATCCAAAAATACCAGCATTAGGAATATTCACTATTTTGCATCTGAAATTCAATATTTAAAAAATTTTGTCATCATTTTGATAAAAACCTGCTCCAAGCAATTTTGCGGGGCCTTTTAAGATAGCGTTAATGCCATCTTGGTAGTTAATGACAACACATTTGGGTTGAAAAGACCCCCACCGGCCAACCACTTGACCGATCATGCCCATCTTCGAACTCATTTTTACTTTTGACCCGAAGATCAAGTGTACAAAATTTCCAGTCGATAGAATTTCTTTAAAGAGAGTTATCATGCGTACAGACAGACGGACGGACAGACATCCTGACAAATCTATAATCCCATCTTAAAAGGCCTAAAATTAATAAAAATCTCAATCCCAAATCTGTAAATAATGGAAATTTACGAATTTTTCCCATTGACAAATTTTACATTGTGATCTGACAATTTAAACCATCCTGTATCTAAATATATGTAATGTAACGGAAATAGAAAATAAAAGTGGTAAGTTCCTGATTGTCGAAAAAACATTGACAAAAAAATATTTGTTTCAAATAAAATCAAACTATATTAGTTTTACCCTAGTCATACCTTTTTTTAAAAGGTGAAATAATTTAGGGTTCCACATCCTTCAAAAACCAAACCGTGATTTCTGGTGTTGACCAAATAACAAAATCATATTGAGGAGCATACCAAAGTTTTAAATATGTAATAATGATTTTAAATATGTAAACCATGTTCGACCTACACAGATTATTTAATCACTTTTATCAAATTTATTTATTTATATCCAAAGTGTTCCCATCATACATTCTAAGTAAGTATATTTGTTTATGGGATGTACGTATTTTAATTTAGAGTATCACGTCGTACACAATTTTGACAATGAAACTTTTGCCTCCCAATAGAAATTTGACCATGGTTTGGTAGTACATAAATTGTGTTTAATTGATTTTCTGATTAGGAAACCCTCTTGCAAATTCTGCCTGTCGATGTAACCTCTGTCTGCAAAATTCATAGAATTTGACTTCATTTCCTATTTCGTCGCGAACGAGCTGCTTAATCTTTTTGGGAACGTTGGGTGAAGTGGGACTCATGCTACTTCGGTACGTGTGTTTAGTTATTGTTATATATGCTGGTCATTATCGCCTATAAATATACGATCAACTGCTTCAGAAATAGAAAGCAGGTCCACTAAATTCTTCCCACCGTTCACGATAGATTTTTCGACATGAATTTTCCTCGGGTTACAACCTTATTGACATTTTTCGGAGTCGTGGCGGAAATGCAAACCACGGTAAGAAACACCCCAGTTCAAAAATTATTCTTCTATCAAAACTTACTCATCCTGATTTTCAATAATACTCGTCATTTTTGTCATCTCCCCTTCATTTCACTTTAACGTAGTTTCCATATAGTTTAAAACCTTACGCAATGTACAGGGTGGTTTAAGTGTCACGCTACAGCGGGAAATTTTTCAATGGGAAAAATTAGTAAATTTAAATGAGTTACCGACATTTTGTCTCTGAAACTCAATATTTTAAAAATTTTGCCATCAGGCTTCATAATAATTAATAAAAATTGCAATCCCAAATCTTGTAACTATTGGAGATTTAGGGGCTTTTCCCATTGAAAAATTTTCCATTGTTGCGTGACATTCTAACCACCGAGTACATATCTACCACGCATACGGTGGAAAATGGAAAGAGTGATGCACCACTTCATGCGCCCTCATTAATCTGAACAGTTTGAATAGTGCATTTATTTGCATTCAAATGAAACAAAATACTCAAAATTGTATACTAATTAGCTATGTTTGTAGTATTAGCTCACCCTGTATTAGTAATTCAATAGCACGCGAGCTATTGAATTACTCTTGTCCGTCTGCTTGTCTGTTAACGAGTTTTTGGCATCAATTGATGCTAATTATTACTAATCCCCACTCTCATTTTTCGAAAACATATGTAGTCGCACCATTGGTATCGAACAATCCATGACGTAAATGATGCGAATCTATTGACAAAATCCAAAGAGAAAGGACTACAATTTTGAGATAAGTATCGAACAATCGCTTATCTGAAATGATGCGAGAGAACTTGAAGAATCGATACAAAACTTATTTACCAAAAGTGAAGAATAAGTGGAAAAAACACTTACGAAAATTTGTCACCACGATTTCATGGTCACTTGACAAAAATCGAAATTACGTCAAAATTAGATGCTTATTACTTTACAAGGGGAATTTCATTATATAATGGAATTATATAATTATAATTATATTTCGTTATATATATAATAAGTTTATATTTATTATATTTATCATAATTTTAAGGGAAAATTTTAGAAATCGAAAAACAAGAATGATATGATTTCACTTCAAGTTATCACAAATTATTTTGTTATTCAAAAAACGGTATCGCTGTCAGGGGCGCTTGATCAGGGAAACATTAGTGAGGATTCAGGTTCACGCCTTGGTCTTGATTCATTTCGTCAGATGTTTTTCGAATGTACACACTTTCAAGAAATTTTCTGTGAACGCCGTTCGGGTAGAATGAGACTTGCTGAGTCCTGGTTGATTCTGTGGTCGGGATTTTCCAGTACATATGTACAATGCCACCTAATAATTTATTTAATCAAGAGATGAACACCAGCTGTGTGGAAAGAAGCCCGTTCTGCGTATCGGATTCTGACTGCTGTGGCCACCGGTGCGTCCCCCTCATCTCGCCCAAAATCCCAGACACAACGATATACAACGCCCATTTCGCTGCCGGATTACGGGGCCAAAGTTATTTCGATCTGTCCAACGTCCACGTCTGTTCGACGGAGAAGATCCAATACGACAAGGTTACAAGTCCTTGCGAGGAGGATCTAAGAGGGCCCACGCGCAAGCCCAGGCCCAGGTCAACAACAACTGGATCACATACAACGGAATCACCCATACCGGGATCACCGGGTCCACAGTATCCAGGGTACCCATCGTACCCAGGGAACCCATCATACCCAAGGAACCCATCGTACCCAGGGAATCCATCGTACCCAGGGAACCCATCGTACCCAGGGAACCCATCATACCCAAGGAACCCATCGTACCCAGGGAACCCATCGTATCCAGGTTATCCACAAGATCCACAGTACCCTACATGTTACCCGAAAAAGTTACAAAACGCGATTGGCATAGAGTTAGACCTATTTGCCGAATCCGTTCCCCGGGGTTGTCGCCCTTTTGTAAAAAAGACCACGAAAATATTTGCCAGATATGTGCACCAAGACCCTTTTGGGGAGGAAGCCTCCTATGGGGATGATTGTCCGGCCAATACTTAACTTACGTACCAAGATGAATAAAATGTAAATATGGTTGCTCACTAAGTTCTCTCACTCTTGATTTAATCCTTTATTAGCTCGCCCTGCGTAGCACGAGAGCTATTGAATTCCTCATGTCCGTCCGTCTGTCTGTTAACGAGTTTTTTGCATGAATTGATGCTAATTAAAAATCCCCTTGACAACTATTGAATATGTTAGGCGCACCATTGGTATTGAACAAACCGAATCGATTTTTTTAGTAAATAAATAGCACAGTTGATATATAACAATCGGTAACACAAAATGATGCGAAATAATTTGGGGATGGGATGCAAAACGCACCAATAGTGCAGAATATCCGGGAGAAATGATCATACAATTTTGACAAAGTTTTCAAAATTATGTATCCCGGATGGTCGCTACTGCTTCACTAATGGTGCAATGGCCTGCCGTTTCTTTTGCACCATAAACGGCATATATATAATGAATATATGGGACTTTTAATGTACGACTTTGTTAGTCAGCTTTTCTGATGTGAAATTTGTGTAATGCAATGATAATTAGTGAAATAAATATATATACCATGAATATATAAGAGTTGTGACATATTTTGTTGGCTTAGTCCGCACCATCAGTGCAAAGTTCTCTCTAAATTATTATGACAGGGTGAGCTACTTCTAACGTTACTACGGTTTATACTGGCTGGTGTGATATTACCTTAGCGTAGTTTGATGGGAACTATTTATTCTTAGTGAGGCAAACACGTAACAACGAATACAATGGAAGCGCAAACCATGTTCAGCCTAGATTATTATTTGACCATGTTAATTTGGTAGAGCAAGTCCTCAGAAACAACATTTGGTTCGGCACTTGGGCAGATGCGCAAAATTCAGCAAGTTCTGCGAGCCGCAAGTTTGCAAAAACGCTTTTAGTAAAAGCTATACTATAAACTGGAAATGTTTATCTGCAAAGGAAGCGAAAGTAATTTTCCGTGACGCAAGTGAAAGTGAAGAAAGTTGCCAACAGATATTTCCAACGAACAATATAGACACAATAAAAAAATAATTCGGTGGAATTATGAACAATCCTACTAAATTTTCATGAAAATCAAATAAGCCCATCGCCAGGCGGGAGACGGGCTACTTCGCTAGTTTGTTAATACAAGAGTTGTCTCCCATCGCGTGCAAATATATTATTCCATACATATTATATTAGGAAGTGATTATCATCTCTAAATTAAAACCTTTATTATAAAAATATGCCCAAAAATTATATACAAAATACAGCTAGACATAAATACATAACAATGTATGCTTGCTGCCTTACCTTTTCCAGCCACAATTCCTAGTTCAACTTTCCGGAATAAAGTCTCCACGCTTTAAACAAATTTGACCATTTCGAGGTATAAACGTCTCGTCCCATGAAGTGAATAATACAAAAAATCAGTTATTTTAATCAGGTTCGGTGAACCAGGAAATTCGAATATCAAACCATAAGTTTTTCCAACTGTCTTATTAGGGTGGCAACAAAAAGACCAGCTAGAGCATAAAAAGATCGGCCAAAGTTCTCACCAGTATATAGTTTAGCATCAAATATATATATGGCGAACATCAACTGTCATCATAGATAACACATTTCAATCGGTGAAATCTACATAACTACTATCGAAGAATCTACGTTATGGAAATGTTCAATTTAAAATTTTACCTTATCTTTTCCGTCATAATTTTTGCACACATAGCACTTAACTCTGCCGACATGATATCAAATATCGAACAGTTGACCTCGATTCAAGGCTGCCACTTAATCTTCTTTTATCAAACCTTTCCGGGCTTCCCTATTTTTAAAACGCCGCTTTCCATCTGGAAGACCAACTTTGAAGAAGAAAATTCTTTCCCCCCAAGTAATTTTAGTTTCCCGGTCGAACGCACCAGACAAATTGACTGTTTCTCTCTAATTAGCGTAATAACAGAGCTGACTTATAAGGAGATAGAAGGACACCAATCTTACAACCAGGTTTACAATTGCATAAATTGGATGAGCTACAATTCCCAGACTTTCTTCAAAGACAATGCTGTAGTGTCGACTAGAACCATGGATAGAGGCAAGGTTGCCATAATAATTCTGCTACAGTCGGCCCCATTTAACGAACTGGGGCCCAATTCGCAACAAGAATTACTACATCAAACCATATCTGAAGATATCCTTCTTTACCAGGTCAGAATTCTTATTATAGTCCGAAACGCTGATAACAAACGAAACTCTGCTTATACCGTCTGGGATCCTCCGTCATTAGCATCGGGAACAGATGGTCCTTTGTTTCTCCAAACAGATCCCAAGCTTCCTAATGAAATTTCTGCGTTTTGGGAAAGATTCAGGCTAAATAAGCCCCTCAAATACCACGCAAATTTGCCACATATTCAAGATATTTTAAGTACTTTAAACATTTCATACCTTCCGGGTATCGAAGGTCCTTCCATTTTAGAGGGTGCCCTTGACCAACCTTACCTGGAGTACAACGTTAAACAAAATATAATCCCGGTTGAGACCTCTTCATTCCGATTTTTAACGTGTCATTCCGAACCAGAACTTTCATTTGAATTTTATCTGAAACCGTTCCAGTGGCAAGTTTGGGTTGCAATTATTTTGTCCGTCCTTTTAATTGTTGCGTTTCTGCATTTCTATGGAATCCTGAATCCATATCCGACCTCCTTCTCGCCAGTGTTTCAAATCATTGGAATACTTTTAGAAGAAGCATTATCCGCGCCGAGCACATTACTGAAATCACAACCTTTTCGAATCGTACTGATTTCCTGGCTTTTGATGTCCATCATACTAACAAATGCGTACATTGGGGTTGCAATAACGGATCTCAGTTCGCCCCTCAAGTTAAAAAGTATTAGCAAGTTTGAACATTTAAAGACAACCCAATGCCAAACAGGGTGTGATTGTGGGGAAGAATTTGGGTATTATGAGACGAACTATACCCGCTATTTAACCGCGCTGGATAGACGCATTTTCAAAATGGGAACACATTTCGAATGGGTGTCAAAATTTGAGAATCAAGTAAATCCGAAGTTGGGACATCTGAGTAATTTTGAGTTTGGAAATGTTCTTGAGCCCTTAAAAGCAAGATTGGTCTTGCTTGTCCAATCTTTAGACAGGAATTGTTTGGAAACCCCAAAATTTGTAATGGATCAATTTTACTTGTTAAGTTTATTTTTCCCGAAAAGAGGATATCTTCCGGATTTGAAGAATGGCACGATTTCCGTTATTTCCGCGATTGAGAGGAAATTAGTGTCATGTGGAAGAACCGTGTTCATCTTAAAATCTAAAGAACTTGAAGCCGAATATAAATTCTTGCATGGAAGTTATAAAAATTTAACATTTTTTAAAAGCGACGTAACGTTAAGTACAATACTAATTGTAATCATGACGTTTGATGGGTCTGATACACCCGGAAAAATTGTAAGGCTTCTTGAGACTGGGATTTATTCAAAAATTAGGACCAAACTGGACTTCATAACATTTTTGGAAAGATTCAATAATTTTACGTGGAAGAATTCCCGACAATTTTTAAGAACTGTTAAACCAATCTCGATGTTTGGCAGTGTACAAACCATTTTTATTATATACGTGATTTTCGTAGGGATCAGTTTGGCTGCGGGTGGGGGAGAAATTTCGTGGAGAAATCGAGTCAGAATCTATCACAGTTTGCGTGGCAAAGTTCGCGGGGGTAGAGACATAGTTTGGGAAAAAATAATGAAATGGATCGAATTAATGCGCCGTGTAGGCATAATATTTAAGTACGTAGTACTTCGTCAACAAAGGGATATGTCGAGGCATCCAACTAATATGCACACATGATCCATGGGCCATCTCCACGAGAAAGTATCTTAATGCAATCGGCACTTGGAACCAGGCCTAGGTCTTTGTCTTGAGTTAAGTTTACCTTTTAAGATGCTGACTCTTATCACACAAGCTTGACTTCATTTAACAGCCTTTTACCATGAGAAAGATGTTCACAAACTAAATGCTGATGAAATCTGTAATTGCAAAGAAGAGAAATCTGTGTTTTTAATGTGCTTTCGCACTATCTGGTGTATGGTACTGGTAGGATGTGAATACGTGGGTACGTGATAAGAAAAGGGATACGACCTTTTCAATAAAATTAGCCACGCAACTCTATTTACAAATACTTAAGAAGGCGGAGTATGATAATAGAGTAGACTGGATTAAAAATTTTACTATTTTTCACATACCTATGTACTTATGCAGCCTGATGCGGGCCGGGGCCATAGCTGAGTGGTTAGAGCCTCCATCTCTTTCCGCAGAGGTCCCCGGTTCGAAATTTGGTGGTGGTTGGAGTTTTTGGTAAATCAACAACAGCGTACTGGATAGTTGTCTACTTGGGGATAGTCAGTGCCTGAAAAAGGCAGAAGCTGACTCCTATCTGGGCTAAAGACTCCGGTACGGTAAATGCTGATGAGTGATACGTGTTTTCTCCAACCCAGTGATTTGCATTAACGCTACTGATATGATAAGTAGTATTATGCAATCGTAACTGTCCAAATGGAACCTATCCCAACCTACCTAGTTAAAATCTACCTGTCCTTCCTACCTGCCTGTATGCAAGAGCCATGAGCTAATACGCGTACGTTAAACCCCTCCTTTTTTTATGAAGCCTGATGAAAGATTATGAAACCTTATGAAACCACTGCAAAATTATTCCAATAAACAAATCTTCCCATTAGTTTGAAGTGTTTTATTTCATTCAAAAGGATAATCTGGACACTGACACAGCTAATGCAAAGATCACAATTAAGTAGGTTTATGTACAATATGTAAATTGTAGTGTAGCTTGGATGTTATGCACGTATGTATTTACTGACTACTTGTAACTTGTAATTCCATGGGTCATGGCCCTTGTAAGAATTTTGTAAATAAATTCAAATTCAAATTATTATTGAATTATGCAATTGGTAAAATTAGTTTTTTGTTAATATGCACGTTCGGGTGAG